TCGATAGTAGGGTCCAAGAACCATAGCCATGGCCCCCTTCTAGAAATGTTCCTGCCATCTACCAGTTTTCTCGCCTCATAGATCTAACTTTCTATACTAGCCTTATTCTATTTGTTAACCCTGAAGAACAAGATACATCGCCTGAAGGCGTCGAGTAAGGACGTTAAGCAGAAAGGCAGGAGGCAGAGGAGGATTCAGAGGAGGAGGAGGAGGAGGAGGAGGAGGAGGAGGAGGAGGAGGAGGAGTAGAGGGAGAAGAAGGAAAAGCATTAGAGTAGTCATGGCAAAAGGCAGCCAGTTTGAACAAAGTTACCATAGTAGAGTCAGTTGCAGACTACTATGAAGCACCTTGTATAGCCCACCCGTAGGTACTACCATTCAAGAAGTCATCCGTCCAGAACCATTCGTCGATATTGAAGTTCATGTCCAGATTCTCTTCAACATTTCCCACACTCCCCTCTACCAACCCTTGCTCTAGACCGTCAATAGGCGCCGGAGAATTCCTCGCTGTTTCTACCGGCGTTAGAAGCCCCGTCCCCACATCCGCCATATCCAACCCATGGTTCTCGAAATATTGAATCGAACTCTCCCCCTCGCCGTGACTAATCTCCTTCTCAAACTCCATAATATACGCCCCAACCGTAACCCCCATCGTCTTCTTAAATGCGCGACAAAGATAACTCGGCGAAACCCCAACCTCTTGCGCCAACTCCTTCACCCCCCGCTTCATCGCCACTACATCCTTCTTTACCCGCAAAAGCGTTATAACCCTTGCGACAACCTCCTCCTTCTCTCCGAGAAAGCTGGCGTTATCTGGTTTACAGCGCTTGCATGGCCGAAATCCATCACGGCGCGCTTGCTCTGCTGTATCATAGAACACGACATTGGCTCTGCGAGCAATGCGCGCAGCACAGGTAGGGCGGCAGTAGATCTTGGTGGATTTGACGCCGTAAAAGAATGATGAATGGGATGATGGGGCGCGATGTGTGATGGCGAGCCAACGGGAATGGGAGGTTTGGAATAAATTGGGACTAGTAGAGGGACATTGTGTTTCCATTTTGAGATGACAATTAGAGTGGCCAAGGAAGGTTGGGTGGGAGTTGACGTCGAGTGATGTATAAGTGAGTTAAGTCGGAAGCCTTTAGCACTGAGGGGTATGAACTAGCACTATGCCTGATCTGGTCATAGGGCTAGAATAGGTACCTGATTTTTGTTCATTCTAAATGCCAAGTTTTGGTCTAGAATTTGGTTCTATCCTTTTTATGTACATTAAATCGTTAGGGCTACGCTAACCTAAATTTGCGGGGTCCCCGCCGCTATAAAGTATAACAGTATAACCCCGTAAGAACTTATACCCTACCACTTGACCCTCCAATCCCACCCCTTTACTTTGATCCTGACCCAGAGAAAACATAGCAAAGAAGCTACATAACTGAGTCCTGCGAAAAGCGCGGTCCCCCAATACTTTTCTTTCCCTGTAGCATCCACCACATTAAGAAGACTCCCAGCAATAGGAATACTTGCCAACACTCCAAAAGACACGACCGTGAAGCAGCTCGCGTAATATCGCCCATAGTCGTGAGTGTCGCAAAGCTGGCCCAGACAGATCGGTGTCAGGCTAGTATTCGAGCCGCTACAGAACCCAAATAGTATGATAAAGACTATGAGAAGTGCCGGGTTATCTAGATCGGAGATGACGATGTCCGGTAGCCAGAAACACAGAACGGAGATTGTGCAGAGGGACAACGAGACAATCATGGTATTGTACCGGCCGAACCGATCAGCCAAGTCACCCGCCACGTACCGCCCAACGCACGAAGCAGCATTGAGAATCGCGAGAAGCTGATATGCAAATGCTGCTGACCCCGTCAAAGCCTCTTCTTGAGGCAGATTTTGTCGATCGATGTAGTAACTGGCCGTGTATGTGATAGGTATGAAGTATGCTAGATCCGTTAGGACGAGTCCAGCAGTCGTGACTGCCATCACTCCTGTACCATCCATGAAGATTCGAGGGTCGGGTAATGTATCCCGCCACGTTGTTTTAGCTCCTTTGCGCGGTGGAACTCTGCTTCGGCAGAATGTCACGCTGATGGTGCAAAGCACGAGCAACACAAATGCCAGAATACGGATTGACCATCCCCAGCCCACTTGAGGGAGTAGGGATTGAATCATCAAGGGGAATATAACGCCACCGAAACTGCCCCCGATGAATGCTATGCCGCTGGCCAGGCCGCGACGTTCCATGAACCAATGAGCGACACAACCCATTGATGGGGTGAGGAGAAGGGATGAACCGATACCAGTCAGGATCGAGAATGACAGAAAGATTTGATAGTATTCTATGTCACTATTAGCAAGGAAGGAGAGCTTTAAGCAGTTCATGAGAAAGGGAATTCCAGGAGAGTATGTTGAGAACATATAACCCATGGAGATTCATATGAAAGCTGATCTTAACTGTGCAAACGCTGAGTGCGAAAATGCCAATGAGCGTGCAAATCGTCCCTGCAATGATCAGAGCACGCGGGCCCATTGCATCAAAAGTCGGTCCAACTTGCACCCCGCAGACCCAATTCACGAAGGCGTAGACGGAGAATATCCAGCCAATAGTCGACTGAGAGTATTCCGGCAAGAGTACTTTTGAGACAACGACCTCGAACACACCGGCTGTGTTGTAGATCCCTAGAGATGCGGTTAAACCACACCAGGCACCCAGCACCACCAACCAGGCATCACGGCCACCCTCTGGATAAGTAACCTTGGTAGGAGAATAAAGTTCGTGATCAACGAGCGTCTCCTGCTTTTCATCAGTTGCATGCGAAGCATCCAATCATGGACGAACAGTGCTCTGAGATCGCCATTGTCTCCTAGCGCTTCACTTCGAAAGTCCTGCAATTGCTCGGAGTGAAGAAAGCGAGGATGCGTTAACAATCGAGCAGTGAAAAGATATCAGCTCAAGCACAGCAATTTAAATCATTTAGGATAGAACGTATAGTCTATATAAATTTAGAATAACCAATTAAAACCATGCACGGGGAAGTGTACTTAAAGTAGCCAATCAGCGACAGCGACAAGCCACGGAGCGTTGAACTCAAAATGACCAATCAGAGTTAAGCCCTAATGGTTGTACTCAAATTGGCCAATTCAGTAACAACTAAGTCGAATTCATAATCTCTGTTCGGCTATTAGTATGATAGGGCTGAGAAATAAACATATTGCAGTGCACCTGGTGTGCAGAATCTGAGAGATCATTGAATAAGCTTCGACAGAGTGTTATGGAAGATTACAAGTGACCCTCCGCTCTAACTCGGGGGCTTATCGTCAATAGGACCATTATTTCGTAGTAGTAGTTAGTATCTTAGGATCGACTGAGTTTGACTACATTGTATGACCCCTTATCTAATCCTATAAGATGACATGGTAGACCTTGTCGCCACTGTCGTTGGCTCCACTATCAAATTGTTCTGGGCTTGGCATATTGGGGATGAAATATCCTGTGTGTCAGTTTGTTAGACGAATATGATATGTTCGTTTACTTCTAAGTATTCTACTATTTGAAAATTGTGACTAAGAAGCTGCAGAGCAGCATGTAAATCATGTTATAATCTTGTTGGCATAAAAGTAAATCAATCATGAGCTCAGTACACTATACTGCAATGCTTCAGCTTTCTCCATGTCCGAACTGCATAATGACTCCAAATCGACCCACTCTATATTATAAATCAAAGAATGTAGGAAAGTTTTATTGTGATACATGTGCTTGCTCTTTGTTTTGGTTAGGATTTTCAATGTATTGACAGTGAAACGGGAATAGTTATAGCCTAGCTCAGCGACCGCTCTTTCGAACCCTAATCAATCCAATTCACCAAACCAGCGACTTTGGACGTGCTTTCTTTTCTTTTAACATACCGATGGAGCTCCCAATTCCACCCCTAGCTCATTCAGATCCACCTCGAACGGTGAATCGTTTTCCACACAACGTCGACTACCTCGAAAATGAAAGTGACGACCAAGCACCACGGCAAAGTCATGGCAAGCCCCCGGAGCTACCCACACTTTTCGCAGAGATGGTGTTTGTAGTAGTCTGTTCAGTGGGACAGCTCTTCTTTGCAATCGTGCTGGCAAACACCCTCGTCAACCAGATCACTCTGATAGGTGCGTTAGGTCTTGATGGGTCCAAATCCCCGTGGTTGATTGGTTCTTTCTGTCTTGCCAATGGTGTTTCTGTCGTGGTATCGGGATCATTAGCAGATCTGACGAACCCTAAGTGGCTAACTGTGGGTGCTCTGGTCTGGCTCACGGTCTGGAACCTGATTGGAGTCTTCTCCATCACGCCATCCCGGATGGTGTTACATTTCGTTGTTCGTGCCATGCTAGGCCTTGCAGTAGGCATGATCTAGTCGACTGCTGTGAGCATGTTGGGACGCATCTATAAGCCCGGTAAGAGAAAAACAACGGTCTTCTCGTCGATGGCTGCCATGATTCCCCTGGGATTCGGTGTCGGCGCGCTGCAGGGTGGTGCCTTCAGTGCCCATCTTCACTGGGTTTTCGGCTCTACAGCCATTATGTGTGCCGTCTGCACAGTCGCTGCATACTGGGCGGTTCCGAACCTCCCACCATCGTCCGGTGCGGCAGGTGACGGAAAACTGTCCATCAAGGACTTTGACTACCTTGGAGCGGCTATTTCAGTGAGCGGGTGTGGGCTACTCATCTTCGGACTGACACAGGGCGCGCCCACCCACTGGACACCATATACATACATCTTGGTCATTGTAGGGATGTTTCTCCTTGTTGCCTTTTACTTCGTGGAACGCTGGGTATCCCGACCTCTTATCGACAACCGACTCTGGAAGACACCAGGCATGATATGGCTGCTGATTTCATATTTCCTGGGATACGGGGCGTTCAACGGCGCGTGGATGTTCTACGCAGTCCGCTTCTTTCTTACAATACAAGATAAACCCCCAATCATCGCCGCTCTTTACTTCATACCTCTTGCCATATCAGGAACAGTGGCTACAGTGGTAGTTGCCAAGACACTCCATGTTCTCCCAGGCCACTACATACTCATATGCAGCATGATTGCATTCGCTTTGGGCCCGGCCTTCTTCCTCCCACAAACCTCTAATACTATCTACTGGGCGCTGTCGTTCCCTGGTGTCATCCTCGTGGCTTTCGGACCGGACATGTCGTTTGCAGCTGCGTCCATTTTTGTGACCTCCAACGTGCCGAAGTCCTTCCAAGGCTCGGCGGGCAGCTTGCTGGTTACTATGCAGAACCTGTCATCTGCAATTTTTACAGCTATTGGAGATACGATTGGAGAGAGTGTTACTAAAGAAGAGGGTTACAGTCTGAACCTTGATGCACTGAGAGCTATCTGGTGGTTTAGTCTGGCGACATCTTTGCTCAGCGCTTTGATCTGTGGGGTTTTTGTTCGGATTCCTAAGGCCGAGGAGAAGGAACATCTACAATAAAGACAGTATTGTCTTGATTTAATATGCTTAGACAATAGTCTATCAAACAAAAAAGGAAAAATAGAAGAAAGTTAGAAACGAAAGGAGGCGCCAGTCACTTAATTTGTCTAAGCAAGCTAAGGTATATATAGTAGGACATGTAACAGCCATTGCAGTGCAAAGTTCCTACAAACGGTAGCTCACTTGCCAATGGGTATCAAAATTATAAGAATGTAGGAGAAGCCAAATGAAGACAGCGTGGCTGAGTTCACTACTAGAGGGCTGAAGTGGATGGCTTGGCATTTTGGGGGAGATGCGTATTTACAAATTGGAGATCTCCAAGAAATTTCTACCGATGTATGTCCACCATTTGTAATTGCTCTACACCGTTCCGTTGTGTTCTACTTTTTGGCTGTATGCGCTAGTAGTTATATATATATAGTAGTTGATTTGGATCACCATAAATGTTGTAGTCATAGGTATAACCTAGATCCTGCTACTAGTGGGCTACGGACGTTGCAGACTGTTCGCCATTCAAGCTGTGGATTACGACAGTCAAGTAGGTATCTATTGTTTCCGTATATTCAAGGACGGGATAAGGATAGCTAATCGTACGAAGGAAATAACCCAGCACAGTTCATCCTATGGCGCTGCAACTTTTCCGTGACAGTTCCCTGGGTCAAGGCCTCCGCATAATCGCACGGCCTTCCTGGCTACAATACCCAGAGGAGCATGATGGCCATTCAAATATCATTGAGTGTACATCTAAATTTGGGGCTTCAAACGGGGACATAAAGATTGTGGACTGGTATGGGGAAGGTGATCCCGAGAATCCTCTCAACTGGTCATCTACGAAGAAAGCATGGGTGGTCTTCGTCATTGGCTACTATAGCTTTGTTGTATACATGGCAGCACCGATATACAGTCCTGGAAAGGATTCCTTCATGCAAGAGTTCAACGTGAATCCCGCCGAGTCGTCTCTAGGACTTGCTCTCTATGTGTATGTTATTGCTCCCCCGGTGACCATTTGACGTTCCCCAAAACTAAGTGCTCTTCGACGAACAATAGCTTAGGATACGGCGCCGGTCCGCTCCTCTTCAGTCCCCTGAGTGAGATCCCTCGCTTTGGTCGGAACCTCCCATACGTGATATCCTTCATTATCTTCACGATTCTATGTATCCCTACAGGGTTTTCCCCCTCAGCTATCGGGTTCTATTTCCTGCGATTCCTCCAAGGCTTCTTCGGTAGCCCCTGTCTGGCCACCGGCGGCGCATCCATAAGCGACATCTACGACCCCTACGTACGTCCCTACGCCATGACAGCATGGGTGTACTGCATATTCTGCGCCCCAGCAATCGGCATGTTAGTCTCGGGATTCGCGATCCCCGTTCTCGGCTGGCGCTTCTCCATGTGGGAGATCTTGATGGCCGCCGGCCCAGCCCTAATCCTCATCCTCCTCCTCCCAGAAACAAGCCCATCAACAATCCTCTACCGAAGAGCGCAGCGCCTCCAAGCCACAGATGGTTCAAAGCAATACCGCACAGCAACCGAACTCACACAATTACACATCTCCTTCCACGACATCGTCCGAGAATCCCTCCTAACCCCAATCAAAATCACCCTCATGGACCCGACCATCCTCTTCGTAAATATCTACACCTCCCTCGTTTACGCTATTTACTACACCTTCTTCGAAGCCTTTCCCCTCGTCTACATAGATATTTACAACTTCAACCTCGGCCAAATGGGCACAGCCTTCCTCGCCATCGTCATCGGCACCACAATCTCCGTAGTAATATACAACATCTACAACTACCTCATCTTCATCCCGCAAGCCAAATCCAAATCCAAATCCAGCACGCATCGAACCCAAGACCCAGAAGACCTCCTCACCCCAGCCTTAGTCGCCTGCTTCGGCCCCTCAATCGGCCTCTTCCTCTTTGGGTGGGCTTCTCGTCCTGAAATTCATTGGATTGTCCCGTCCCTGGGCATTGTCATATACCCCGGGTGTGTGTTCGTGCTGATGCAGTCGGTCTTTTTGTATATCCCGGCTTGTTACCCAGAGCATGCGGCGAGTGTATTTGCCGCGGCAGATTTTATGAGAAGTGCGCTTGCTTGTGGGGCGGTGATTTTCTCGCGTCCATTGTTTGGGAATTTGGGGGTGGGAGGTGGGTGTTCGCTTCTGGCTGGGTTGACTGTTCTTTGTATTGGGGGAATCTATTTGTTGAGGTTTTATGGAGGGTCCTTGAGGAGGAGGTCTAGGTTTGGACGGGGGGAGGGAGGGAAGTAGTGAGATGAATTTTTATGTTAGGTTATAGATTCATGAGCATGTTTTGTTTAGATAGAGGTTTACTCGTCGGTTCGTCTTTGAGAGCTGCTCTTATTCCATCATCGTAGAATAAATACACACCAGTCTATGATAGCACATAACGTCCGCTTGCGTATAACTCCAAACTATGCCCAATGATATCTATAAAAGGCCACTGGGCATTCCCGCGCATGATCCGTGCCCACAAGTGTACTACGAAAAATGCTAGTCTTTCACAATTAAGCCCATCAGATGTATTATCCTCACTATCATCGAGAGATGTTCTGCCTTCTTCGACGATTCGACGGACCCAGTTTAAGAGCCGTTGCTCATGTTCTGTCTTTTTGTCAGGCGTTTTCTGACGAGTGCGAACAAATGCACTGTGGTTGTTGGTGTGGGTACTTACCTTCCAGGGGTTGCTTTTCCTGCGTTTCGCCTACAGCGTGCAGCCATTTACTCAGTAGAACTGCGAACTCTACGCCGCAGAGTGCGTGTTGGTTACTCCATACAAAGGCTTGGCTTCGAGATATGTACTCCAGGCCTAGCTTTACTGGGATGCTCAATGCGTGGGTGGCATGGAGTAGAGCGGGAAGGAGGCGGCGACTGCGAATAAGGGGCCCGGAGTCAAGTAATGTGGAGGCTATTTGTCGTGGGTCTCTTGTCATCAGCGCTCTACAGGGCCCGAGGTCTAACTGAAGCCGGGTGTATGCCAATCCAAGCAACGCGGTAGATGTAAAAGGTATCGGACCGTTAGGGTTCAGAGGATCAAGACTGGATTCGGGTGCGAGTTGCCATGTAGATGTCCAGCGTCGCAGGGCATTCCTGTTTTAGTCAGCTAATCTCAAACTATACCATGTAGCAACGGCGACGGATGATTCTTACTCAAATATATCCAGCTGATCCGACGCAACAACACCTGACAGCGATGCCTGTCGACTAAGGAGAATGCGGTGAAGCAGCCCATGTATCAGAATGATGCTGGCTGACGGGGAAGGGATTGGCTTAATTGAGCTCGGGGAATCCTTGCCCGCTAAGAGAAAGGCTAGGGCGTCTTGGAAAAGGCTCTGTTCTCGGGGAATATCCCTGCGAAATTGTCTCCAATTGCTCTCGTCGACCGCCCTCCACTCCTCACAGGTGCACGGGAGTCGAAGGTTGATTTCGTGACTCAAGAGAATAGGTGGTAGGTTATATGCAATGCTTTGCAGGTTCAGGAAGGCAAACGCAAATAGTTTAACACGGCGATCCAGCTCCAGCCGTAACCATGTCTGCCAGTTAAGTTCGTCCGAGTCTGGAATGTTCACTTCCACCAATCCGCTTTCTCTCAACAGACGGACAAGTGTGCTTTGAAGACCACAAACACCTTTTACAACCTCGGGATCTTGCTGCCAGGTTGCGTATATAGCCAGATTTAGTAGACATCTGATATCATCCGTAATTGTCGGACTTGGTGAATAAGGGTCAGGGTTTACTATGATCGGCTGGGGCAATAGGTCAGATTTGCACGAGGTTGCCTCTCTGTGTCGCTGCCGCTCATGGAAAATTGCTTTCGATGCGTAAAAGAGTACCCGGCCTTTACGGTGCTCATACCGATATTGGGCACCAGATGCTGCCATTGATAAAATCAACTCTAAGGAATAGTTTTCTGGCAGAAACGATGGGCCATGCATGAAGGGGAAATGCGGATAAACCCTGTCAAAATAGGCATTTAAGAATCGGGTTAAAGAGTCTCGAGATGGCAGGGTGAACCCAGGCATTAAATGCTGGAATGGGCCGAGGGCTTGCACAAGGTGTGCCCTCTGTGCCTCCGTAATCTTTAACTGTGGCATATATACGGCTGCCTGCACCGCTGATTCCCAAGAGTGAGGAGCTCACTATTAGTGTTCGCGTGTTTAGCAGATGAGTCGAATAGTATCTTACCTGCTGGATTCAATGGAATGGGTAATAACGTGGGTGACTGCGCCCTATGAACACCCTCGCTTTGCTCCTCGTCGTAGTCTGGCCTTGAATTTTGGGGGACACGAGCGTGATAGCTATCCGCATGGAGCACATTGGATAGCGGTGCATGCTCTAGTGGGATACTTCTGAGATCGACGAGACTCTCCGAATCAAGGGCCAGACCCATACTGTCGATGAAGCTGGTAAAGTCCTCCAAAGGGTCATAGAAATTGTGTGGATCGGGAAATGTGATGACTATCGACCTTTCAGCGGCACGAATCTGGATTAACAGTAACCAATGGCTTACCTGGCTCTTGAGTAGTATGAATCACTGTATCACCTGAGCTGATTCCAGCAGACAGTGTGTTTGCTGTTGCTTCTACAGCGGGTACATTCGCTGATGAATTATACCCCGGCAGTTGGTTTCCATTTGATAACACACGCGAGCTTGTGTCCACTGTAGCGCTAAAGGCTGGAGTAGATGGTGAGATAAAAGGCTCTGTCGTATTTGGGGTCTCAACCCGCGAGGAGCGATTCCCCGAGGGAGAGACAGTATCTGAATGCAGTTCACTAGCTTGTGAGCGCACTTCTTTACGCGAGGGTGTCAGATTTTGATCGCCACCATGGGCGATTCGGTGGTGACGCTTTAGAAGATCTTTCCTGGCAAATGACTGTCCACAGGCACATGCAAATGGCTTTTCATTTGTATCTTTAAAATGTCAGGCCTTGTAATTTTCGTAACCTCAAGCGACTGAAATACACTCAGTAGACTTACGGAGTCTCACATGACGTTGGAGGTGCTCCAGACGTCGAAAGTCACGCTGACAGTATGTGCAAGTGTAAGACTTTCCTACCCCAGTACTAGATTGACGGCCCACATTGGAGATGTGAGAAGGTGGCATTGTTTGCTCTCATGGGAGATTTTGTCTGTCGGTAAAACTTCTCCAACGCTCTGAATATTTGTCGGAGATGATACGCACGTGACGTGATGTCATCATTTTCAGGTTAGGGCTCGAGGGATGAACAAAAGAAGTTCTTAGTGGTAGCTCAGATTTGGATACAGATTTATGTGGCTGATGTTTCAAAGTTAAGGCGTGGATCTGGAAGCAGACCCAGGGTTAGGTTCTTCCTGTTGTACTAAAATATGTTAAAAGTCCTCCTAGGTCACCTCCTCTTCTAGTCCTTCTACTTGAAGAAATACACGGCAAGCAGTTTGATGATTTAGAAACAAGTTAGTATAGGCTTTCCTTCTCAATAACCCTCAAGTCCATTGTGGATGAGGGAGTTGACTTCTCGTGGCCACCGTAAGATCCACCATCACCAACGACGCACCCCCCATGACTTCCATGACCGCTATATCCGCCGCGAACGCCTTTCCAATCCAGTTACAGAGTTCGACTGCTAGAAGTGAGTCAACACGGAATGTATGCAGAGGCGCGTAGGCATCTACCTCCGCATCCTCGGGTATCAGGTGGTATGAATGGACCATCTTGTCAATGACAGCTCGTCTCACAATTTGACGTGCTTCTTGTAGAGAAGTCGCCTCCTGGAAGAGCTTTTTGAAGTCTATCCGATCATAGCCTTCGCCTTGCAAGACAGGGTTACCCGAGATATTCTCGAGCTTGAGTCGGCTAAAGAGGGGCTTTTCAACCAGCGTGTTGCGGTCACCATTGCTGCCAGAAATTCCGAATACCAGTTGAGCCGTGCCGGGGTCTAGGCTCTGTTGATTGGGACTGCAATAATGATTCAGAATACTATATAATTGCGCTCGGGTGACGGGTGCTAGTGACCCGTATGCAAGCACCTTATCGAGAAACCCGGCAGTCTCTACGAGTATACCGTCGTCGACCATAGGCCCAAGATCTAAGGACACAGCTCTCTGACCGTGAACAACTCGATAGCGTGCAAGGCTATCCATATACGAATTCCCCGCAGCGTAATTGGACTGACCGGTGAGTCCAATAATATTACTGGCGGAGGACAGCATGACAAAGAAGTCCAGGTCCCTAGGAAGATTCATTTCCAGATTCCAGGATCCAAGGGCCTTGCATTCAACAGCCAGTCGCCAATCATCATAGGCCATGTCGCTGAACATTGAATCGCGTAGGACCATGGATCCCTGCACGCAACCCTTTATCGGGGGCATTGTCTGCGATACCCTTTGTATAACTTGCCTCACGGATTCCGTGTCTATCACATCGCATGGGGCAGCATGAACATACACGCACTTTGCAGATAGTTCATCAATGAGTTCAAATGCAGCAGTTGTTTTGGCCCCCGACCGACCTAGAAGAACCAAATTGCGAGCCCCTCTGTCAACCATCCATCGTGCTATAGTCCGACCCAATCCGCCAAGGCCGCCAGCAATAACGTAGGTCGCGTCAGGATTGAGCTTGGACAGGACCTGGGTCTCCAAAACAGTGGGAACTTTGACCTCTGGAGTAAGATCAATGACAGTTTTACCCATGGCAGTTCCATCCTGCATTGGGTTGAATATATTTTCCATCGAACTTGCAACTTCGACCCTGTAAGGGGATTGAACGCGAAGCTGGCCTTCAGCTAGAAGATTCAGGACTGTCTCAATAGTCCTCTTGGCGATTTCTGGCCTATCACGCATCCACAGTGCGCTATCAAAATGGGTGAAAGAGGCTTGTCGGCCTGTCTGTGCTAGAGAAAATCTGCCGTTGGATAGGCCGCCAATATGAATCAAATGACCGTAAGACGCCACACAGTCCCATGAAGCTTGTAGAATCTCTCCACCCAATATGTTTACTACCACACTGACTCCGTGGCGATTGGTCATTTTCATGACACCGTGGATAAAGCTGGTATCGCGGCTGTAGAAGATATGATTCGCTGGGATATCATACTTGTCTATAAGTAATTGTTTCTTTTCCCGCGTGCTCACTGTAGCATAAACCTCAGCACCGATATACTGCGCCAGTTGAATTGCTGCTTGACCTATACCACCCGCCCCAGCGTGAACAAGAACACTCTGGCTAGACTGAAGACGGCTAATGCCGACAAGGATGTGCCACGCTGTGCCAAATGTTGCCGGCACGCCAGCTGCATGAGTAAAGGATATACCCTCCGGAACTCGGCAAACAGCACTTTGTCTGGCCCTAGCTCTGGTTTTGAATTGTCCAGGGCCGAAGACAAGTACCGGATCGCCGGGAAGAAAACCGGAGAGATCACCAGCCTGCCTCACCACTCCAGCACATTCCTGACCTAGGGAAGTTTCGAGATCTCTACCCAGTGCAACTAGTACGTCTCTGAAGTTGACTCCGACTGCCTTGGTGTCAATCTCAACTTCATCTGGCTGCAGTGGTTGGAAAGCGTCGTCGTCGTCAGCCCAATGCAGCGATGAAAGCAGACCAGGAGTTCTAACTGCCAGCTGAACGGGTCCCGCTTCACTCAAAAGCTTGACACTCGACTGCTTCGGTAGGGAGGCTGCATAAATATCATTCGTTAACTGCTTCGTGGGCTCAGCCCGCAGAATGTGCAGCATTCTGTCTAACTCCACGAATTCCGGCTCATATGGCCCAGCCTGCTTCAAGAGGCCCTTCTCAATAACTCGTACAATATATTCAATTTGGTGAGACTGGACCTCTTGGTCAATGTCTAGGGCCAAGGTACAGAACCGTCGGCTGACCTTTTCATTCCGGAGCGTGCGAGCCCATCCATCAACGATGGCATATTCGGGCTTCGTTGGTCGACGTCCACCACCTGCGGTGACCCAGAGAATAGAACTACATTGATTAACCAGATGATGAATTTGTGAGAATGTCTCTCTGTCCATGTCGCTCAGAAGTGGTGTCTCGGTTTCCTGGACGAAGACGAGCGTCACCTCCGAGAGGGCTGGCAAAGAAGCACAATCCTTGAGGCTACAGCAGTGAACCGCTGATTCAGGGTATACACGTTGTAGTTCTTGACCTGCCTTTCGGCAAGTTGCTTTTTGTCTGGTGGAAGTGGGGTCGATGACAAAGGAGAAGGATTTGGGTACTAGTTTAGCTGCAGAACCGGTCATATGATAATCAATCGTGTCCTCTGAGGCACTCGCAACCAGGATTGCCATCTCCTGACATTCTGAGCTGACGAAATCGGGAAATTCGATATCCACACCAGTAAAGCCGGTTTCTTTCAGCAGTGAATCCCACTGAGTCACCGTCAGCGCTGGGCTCCATGGTCTACCGTTCTCTACACCAGCCCACCAACCCTCCATTAAACCAGCGATAAAGCCGGACCGAATGATTTCAGGTCTGGTGATCTCGTACAGCATCGCTTTACCATTAGGCTTGAGAAGTTTGCGTACGTTCTGCATGGTCGCCTTAATGTTCGGCGTTGCGTGTAGTACGTTGGCTGCGACAATTAGGTCGTATGATTCAAGCTGGAAGCCCTGCATGACTGGGTCTTCATTAATGTCAAGATTCTTGAAGCTTATACGTGGGAACCTGGCAAAGCGCTCCGCTGCCCGCTCAAAAAAGGCTGGAGATATATCAGTATAATCATAAGACATATAAAGCGGGTTGCCATCATCGCAGTCGACAGAAAGTGTATTCAATATGTGACCTGTTGATCCTCCAGTTCCGGCTCCTATTTCCAGAATCCGCATAGTGGGATTCTTCTTTGCTAGTGTCTTGAGGTACAACCCCCATGTGCTGAGACAACCAGCTCGATTATTGACCTCATTGTACCAAGCCTCCATCATATCGCCTGTGAAAAGGAACTGTAGGGAGTTCTGTTCTCCACGAATTATGCTAACCAAATTACGCCCGGTGTGGACAAAGGCATACCCCAGATCATTTGCAGAGGCGACTCTCTGACATGCCTCCTCAAAGTATTCCGGGTTTTGCAAGTAATCAGCCCACCTATCCTGACTTAGTGGAAGTCTACCTGAGTGATATTTGGTCCGCTGCTGTCTGGCCCACTCAGTATATCGACGGATGTGAGGTTGGATGCCATCGTCGTTAGCGGCGTCTCCGTTGAGGTCTTTTACCGCATCGTCGAGGAACTTGTACAGAACGAAATTTAGTTCCTTGAAAAAGCCGACCGGCTCTGGCTCCTGAGGTAGTGCTTGTTCGCAGTATTTGGCCAGTCGCTCAGTGCTCAAGAAATCTAGGTCTGGCACGCGACTAATATGATACGCGGTCGTCTTGGCCTCTGTATCCTTTGAGGCATCTCTCGTGCTGTCAGCCACGATAGTGGACTGAAGACCGCGTACCTGGGCAAGAAGGTGTGTTCGTTGCTCGTCTGTAGCACTCACGTCGAATTCATATCCACGACTGTGCATTGCTTTCTTCCAGGTTGAAGCATGGAGAGTGACGATCGACGGCCCGCTCAAGCCCTGCTTGGCTACCCAGAGGGAGCGAATTCCTGTTGGTATTGCGGTGGGAGATTTAGTAGACATGTCACTCGCTGCAATGGCAGCAGAGCTCAGATGTAAAATACCATCCAAGGTCGTAGGATGGATGACATGAGCCTGGGGGTATTGATTAGCAGGCCACTGGAAAACCTTGATTGAGGCCGTTGCCTGATGTTCCTTATTGCATTTTCCACTTAGCACCGTTTGGAATTCAGGCCCAAATTCATATCCACACTTTTGCAAACGTTCGTATAAGCGAGCGTGGTCCATCTCAATCGTACAGGCTTTAGCAGTTTCGTTATCCTGCTGCAACCAATCTTCCAGGTCTTGACCCTGTTCCGTAAGCTCGTCTGTAGACCCATGATCGATCTTGATGTACCCATGACAATTTTCTTGCCACTCCTCATTTTCATATGAACAGAGTCTAAACTCCATCCACGAGGCGATGTCGCCGCCCTCTAACATTGTGCGCAACAGCAAGTTAGTCTCGATTCCATCGGCTGTTCTAGGTACCACTATAGCACGCTGGAACTTGACATCTTTGAGCTGAAAACCAAAAACTGGGCGAATGGGATCGGCGATCTGATCAGCAGCCTCGATTGCCATAACAAGCATGCCAGCTGCGGGATAGATGAGAGCGCCATTAATGATATGATCCTCCACCCAGGGCATCTCTGAAAGCCGTATATGATGGCGCCATCGAGCCTCCAAGGGATTCCAGTCTGTTACTGGTTTCCCAAGAAGGTCATGTCGGCCTCGATTAACCAGGCGACTTCTTTTGCTCAAGCGGCTTTCGCGCCAGTAGGAGGTCGAGTGGTCGAAGGGGTATTGAGGTAGATCGGTGAGCACATGATAACGCTTCCGGACTGAGCCAGTAAGCCTGTTCACCCTGTCCATATTGACCGGGCTACCCAGGCAATGAATATGCCCAAGGGCGGAGAGGAAAGTATAGGCTGCGCTCTCCTTTCGTCGGATGACCGGAAAGTAGCTAACGTCACGGCCCCATGGGAGGCTGTCCAGCATGTCTCGAATAGGCCCTTGGAGGGTAGCATGTGGCCCAACTTCAAGAAGAATATTCACCCCCAACTGCGCGCGATGACTGCCGTCGAGCTTCTTCCGAATTCTCCGTCCCGACTTTGTACATATGGCAAAGAATGAGTCCATAAACTTCACGGACGAAACGAGGTTGGAAACCCAATAGTGTGGGGAACGCAGTTCTGCAGCTTGCACTCTCTGGCCTGTTACGGATGAAATCATAACGCCAATTCCGGTATCCGCAACCGAATCTCTGCACAATCCTGTCATGCACTTCTCATAAAATGCTGCGACACGTTTCATATGTGATGAATGGTAGGCAACCGGAATCTTTAACTTGCGTGCAAAGACGTTGTCTGCCTCCAACAGACGCCCGAGGATTTCCACCTGGTCCGCATCACCCGATACCGTCACACTCTTCTGGCTATTGATACAGGCAACGTCAATCCCGCGATGATTGTGGACGTCCCAAACCCTCTCCATGTACGCCCGCGTATCGGCTTCAGACAGGCCAACAGCGATCATTGCACCTGACCGCTGGTTTATTCTTGCGAGCTTCACCGCACATACGCCGCGGTAGTATGCGATCTTCATCGCATCGTTAATGGACAGAGCGCCGAGAGCGTATGCAGCTGCGATTTCCCCAGAAGAATGTCCAATCACGGCTGCAGGCTGAACGCCAACGCCATGCAGTAATTCAACCAATGCGATCTGAAGTGCGGTATTTGCGGGCTGGGCGACTTCAGGCTCATTTATTCTAGTCGAATGGCTATCGTTCAATATCTCATCTGTCTGCTTTTAGCACTGCTAAGATCGGTCCAGAAGGAATCTCACTAACCGCGTAGGGACCAAGGGCACCCAAAACCACAAAGAACTACCTCGCACTCTTCAATGGTATTGCGAAATACGGGGTAGTGGAGTAGCTCACGTCCCATTCCTGCCCACTGAGAACCTTGGCCTGTGAAAACGAAACCTAAGACTGGGTTATCGAGAGCCTGGTAGACAGATGATGTCTTCTTATCCACACTACACAGGTCTAAAGGGCTCGACGCAACACAGAAGCTCTTGTAAGTAAGTGCACTCCTACGCATGTTCAGAGTGTGAGCTAGATTCTCCATATACTCCAAAAATGTTCCTGGTGAGAAGACAAGCCCTTCAAAGTGTGTCTTATATGAAAGGGCCACATCTTTTACCCCTGTCTTCCTTGACGAGGAGATCACCAAAAGCTTGGGTGATTCAAGAATCGGTTCTGGGGCCGAGGATACAAGCGTTTCCGGAACGTTATGAGGGCCATTTGCTGCCGCCAGCATTGGAGGGAACTCGTTTGTGACATTGTTCCCGACAAGGCCATGATCACGTAGGAAATGAAACGCGTCATCCAGCACCACATGGGCATTTGACCCACCGAAACCAAAAGAATTAACAGATGCTCGCCGTAAACCAATTGCTGGCCATGGCATAGCTTCTAAAGGAAGCTACAATAATGTTAGTACGCCTAAAAATGAACCGTTATTATGGAGGTCTTCTATTGAGAACGCACTTTCAGCCTCAGAAATTCCAGATCGATCTTCGGGTTCAATTTCTCAAAGTTCGTATTTGGAGGGATTAAGCCACTCTCTAAGATGAGAATAGTTTTAATGAGAGCAGCAACGCCACTTGCACCCTCCAGGTGTCCGATATTAGATTTCACAGAGCCCCTTTCACGGCCGCATTAGCTTCGATCTTCCTTTTTGCCGGATCAAGGCTCGATAGTCTTACACAATCAGCGGATCGTTTGTTGTTCTATGGCCCCGGAAAGCCTCTCCCAATGCATTGCACTCAATCGGATCTCCCACCGGGGTACCTGTTCCATGGGCCTCAAAGAAGCGTGTGGGCTTCATACTCAATCCAGCCTTTTGATATGTGTTCCGTATCAATTGGGCCTGAGCCGAACTGTTAGGTTGCATAATGCCTGAGGGCGTAAGACCATCCGAGTTGGACCCGGTTGAACGGATGACTGCACGAATCGTGTCTCCATCTCGAATCGCATCCGCAAGGCGCTTGATCACCAAGGTAGCAGTTCCCTCACCACGCCCATAACCATTTGCACGATGGTCGAAACTGTGGCATTTAGAATCAGGGGATAGCATGTTCACGTTGGAGAACACCTGCATCATGTCGGCGGACAGGATAAGGTTCGTGCCCGACACTATGCCCTACGCCCATGTTAGCTTTTTTGGCAAAAGAATCTGGATGAGTTACCATCTCTGTTTCCCCGTTTCGCAGGCTTTGGCACGCCAAATCCATTGCCACCAAGCTGCTCGAACAGGCTGTATCAATATCGATGCTGGTGCCATGGAAATCAAAAAACCAGCTGATTCTATTGGCGTTCATACACATGTTTACACCGACTACATCGTAGTCTGCAGTCATCTCGACATCCTTGCAGGCCATTAACCGATAGTCGCTGTTCATGCAGCCTATGTGCACGGAGGTCTGGGATCCGACTGCCTTTTCCATCGGTATTCCCGCTGCTGAGTCGTCAGTATGGGCTACCTGCAGTCGCTATTCAGTACTGGGTTTTGGTGGTATACCATTCTCCAATGCCCCGTAGGTTACCTCCAGCAAGTGTCGCTGCTGCGGGTCTAAGGCCGCTGCTTCATCGGCTGATAAAGAGAAGAATGGGGCATCAAACAACGATACATCTTCCTTAAGATAATGCGCCCCCCGGGACGGGTACTATATAGGTCAGATGGGGTTATGTGAACCGATTGAGCTATTGCAGTCACAGACCTGTCCTCGCCGTCTACTGTTCGGGTGGTGCCAGCCAGACACGCTGATACGATCCTTTGGAGATTCGGTCATGGCACATCTTTTTTCCATCATCATGCTCCAGAAACCACTGGAGTTGACAGCATCGTCTGGGAACCGAAAGCAGAAGCCCACAATTGCTATCGGTTCCAGCTTGTCCTCGTCCAGGGCAAGCGTTCTGTTGTCTGAACAGGGAAATATCTTCTCACCGCTAGGAAGCCCAACTGATACTTCGCTGGGAAAATCAATGTCCTCTGTCAAATGAGGTGCCATGTTGCTGGATGGTTGAGTATAGACTGAGTAGGATTGAAGGACTTATTGGTAGAGCTCATGATAGTTCAATACAGAATGCGGCTCCGATCAGAGATATCTTGATGTGGGCCTACCTTAATACTCCTTCGCTATCAATATCTCGGCCCCTTTTCCAGCTCATGATCGGAGCCTCACAATGTCTCGTCATCTTGTGGAATGAAGGAGCCCTCTAACTGCCCATGTTTTGCTTTCCTCTGCGGCTACATTGGTCCTATCAAGGGATGAGCCCGTCCCAACAGGTCAATGTCCTGTTCTCTCTAGGCTACCAAATTCGTCCACCTGCATCTGCTACCGATCATGGGTAGTAATGTCACTAGTCATATCGCTGCAAATTACTGAATTAAGGACATGGATACCCCGACGTCGTAACACGGAGTACTTTCCATGAAAGGGTGGTCCCATCCAGGACTACCCGATTGTATAGTAGGTACATATATTGGACGTCAGACTCCTGTCGATCCTTGCAGGCTTGTGTCAGAAATTAGTGCGGCTGAGTCAGGGTGGGTACTCGTTAACCTGAGGCTGTCGGAATCAGGCGGCACAGCACTTCATCATTTGATCAGGCGTCACCTTCCGCATATCGAGTAAACAACCCTGTCTAAGAATATTAGGTTGACTCTCTCATACATAGTATAGCCCAATAGACAAGGTACCCAAGCTTCGATTTATTGGCGTGTTATGCATGTGCTGTTGGCACTAAATAATTCGTGATTACCGCCAACCAAACCCCGGTCCCTATCCTTAATTGATGCAAGTAAGAAGAGCCCCACACGGAAGTCCGTCGGCCAAAAACACTAGTATGCCATACAATGCATGCACTCCGCCTCTACTCCAATGTTTTCCCGATTCTTATTAACCCGCTATCGCTACCCTCCCCACTGTTCTGCGGATTGCCCTAACACTGCGCAACAGTGCCTCTTTGGCCCTTGCCCCTGGAACTGCATGCCCATCCTCGTGCAACACCTTCGTGCGTTCATGGGGATCGCATAGCGCATACAGTGTTTCGCTTCGATCACCCCATAGTTCGTCATTACTACCCCAAATGTGTACGGTGGGCAACCCGCGCAATGCTTGGTTTCCAGCCGCCGCGTCATCTAGCAAACGCACTTGTCCCCGTTCCAGAGCCACCGGATCCAGGGGTGCACCACCGGACAGAAAGATGGCACATTTAAATGGTAAAGGTTTTTCAGGGTGCCGTCTGGCCTCCCGGATGAGATAGGTGGCCGTGAGAGCACCTCCCAAGGAAAAAGCAATCAGGCCGTCATATGGGCCTTCGGTCTCCAGGAAAGACGAAAGGTCATCCAGTGCTTTTTGGACACTATCAGCCGATTCAAAGGAAAAGTAATCATAGTAGTCCCCTTTCGGAGGGAAGAATGCCTCCAGTTCTAATGGCCTTCCGATATCAACAAGGGTCGTCTCCAGGACGATGGCAATGGACTCACCGGGAGCCAGGGGAGCTGGGACGGTTCCCTCCACGTAATCGTAGGTATGTATAGTATCAAGTTCGTGTCGGAGGGCGGCTGCCAATCGGGTCAGTTGATACTCACGCTCGCCAATAAAATGGATCATATGTACCGATCTGTGACTCCATGATCTGTTTGTCGAGGCAGTTAATGCGATATCTTATATGGTGAGAATGTAGAGCGCTAACCTGGCTGTTGGTGCCCCTTCCATGGAAACAGAGGAATCGCATCTTGTTCGGCTTTCGAGAGTAGGGCTTCAACTTTGTAGATGAGGGTAGAGATTGATGTCTGTCCTGGACGGATGTGGGTCGCCTCATTAAATCTCTTTATGCGCGTCTCTATTCCCTAGTATGAGGCGAAAAGGGCATATCTGACACTGTTCACCATCTCTGGAAATCTGGTAAAATGACCGTGCCAGTTGTGCCGTGGCACATGCAGGCACCCTTGCTTGACGTTCTGCATCTTCCTCGGAGAGACCAATCGACCCCCATACAGGGTCAAATTAGTCTACTTGCTGCGTATTACGTGGTGCCTGTGAGATACATGGCGCTTCAGACGAACACTGCATTGATTCCCACCCCGCTTACATCTCCTGACGGATTTTACCGGCCCTGCAACGGCCGCTTGGGTCACTCCATGTTGGTGTACAAGGCTCAGTTGTGCTGCATTCTGGCCCCAGTCTTTCTGGCCCCCATTTGCTCCCTCCCCTGTTGAGAGAACGATGACTGAGCCTGGTTGGTCTGCAGTGAATGAATGCTCGCTGGCTCTGAACAGGTTGAAGGACAAGAGCGATAACACTGTCTTCTTTCTTCTTTCTTAATTTTATCGTATTGTCCCTCTCGCTTCCTGCTACATCCCTCCCGACCGCTGCAAATACACATTCACGGTTGCTAGTGCTGCTGGCTCATCCTGACATGGCTAGTACGGAGGAGTATCCGGCAGGATTTCTGCGCCAATCCAAACAGGGCCTGATTAACTCCGTTTCGGCAGTGTTTATCGTACTGGAGGTTATTTGTGTGGCTCTACGCTTTGCTTCCAAGCAGGCCGGCCGCTTGAAACTGGGTTGGGATGACGCGCTTATGGTCCTGGGCCTTGTCTTTTGCATTGCCGATGCAGCCGCTACAATGGGTGAGTGTTGGCTTCCATGCTCCAAGGTGATGTGCAATGTGCTCTCTAACGTGCACTTCTGGCAGCTGATGTGAAATATGGCGGCATCGGCCTTCACGAAGCACGCGTCCGCCAGATCGACCCCCAAATGATGGTGACCTGGGGCAAATTTATCATCATCATTCCTCTACTCTACTTCACCACCGTCGTGCCCCCGAAACTAGCCATCCTTCACCTCTACCTGAGCATCTTCACGCACAAGGCTCTTCGGTATACGTGCTACGGAACGGGGGCGGTGATCCTATTGAACTGGATCGCGGTCATCATCGCGGGCCTCCTCTCCTGCCAGCCGCTGAGTTATTTTTGGACGCAGCAAGGGCACTGCATCGATATCAACGCCTGGTTGCGTTGGGGTGGTTTTGCGAACATTCTGACGGATGTGGTCATGTTGATCCTGCCCATACCGGTGATTTGGAATCTGCACGCCTCGATCCGCCTCCGGTTGGGTATTCTCATCACCTTCCTGCTGGGCAGTCTGTATGTCACATAATCCTCTCGCTTCCCTTTGCGCCGCGGGTTACTCATCCGAGCTTAGGGGTCTAATTTCATCCATCATACGATTCTGGGAGTTCTACGTGACCGACTCCCAAGGGGACAAAACCTGGGCCGCCTCTACCTTGGTCATTTGGGCGGTGATCGAGGGTGGCATTTACCTCATCGCGGCGTGTTTGCCCACCTATCGCCCGCTGATGAAGCTTGCCTGGCGCAAGGCCCGCACGAGGCGAGGCCAAACTGGTGATTTCCGCCAGACACATACTGAACCGGGCGGTAGTCAAGTCAAGCACACCCCGAAGCTCCCGTGGGTGGACGGCTCGACTGATGAGGAGGATGCCTTGAGACTGGTGACATTGGGCAGTCATCAACATTCCGATATTGGTCCGGGGAAAATTATCGTCGACCACGAGTTCTCGGTACACTGATGGCATCTCTTTTTTTTAAAAAAAAAAAAATTTTTTTTATCTTTCCGAGGTTCAATCAAAATGCTGTTCAGGAACTTGAGAAGGGGGAGATAGGAATATGATGTACGCAGGAATCGGCATGATTACCTTTTACGAGGGCAAACCCCGAGACTGACCCACCCCGGGGGTGGTGCAGTGTATTGATCCTTCTATGCAACGGTGGAAAATATAAGCTAAATAAATAGTAATATGCATGTATAGACTGACATGTGGAGTAGTAGTGTAGAAATAAAATTATAAGATGTGGCACCATAGTGTATGTAAATCAGCTGAAACAAAGAATAGAGTGGGGGCCATGTTGGTTTTGCCTCCGCAGTTAATGCCAGGGGGAACAGGGGGGGAAATGTTACTGTCCTTACTGTACTGTATCAACACAGAGCCTGGACCCTGTTGGAACCAGTTAACAGTCATACTATAGTTCGGGTGCTACCCTGGTCTTTCTTCCCGGCTTTTTACCTACTGTCATCATGATTGTTTTTCCTTCTCTACCATGAATCCGATCTTTGTCGCTTGATTTCTAGTCTCCATCCCACTCATGTCTTATTACTCCCTTACCTACGATGACATAGTCTCTACTGTGCCGCATGTCCACGGAGAATATAATCTACTGCTGATCGCTTGATCCTGAAAGTCCCACTACCAGACTCCCCAACTTTCTCACACCATGGCTGCCACCGACACCTCAGCTTTCAATCCTCGCACCCAACTTCTCCCCCATATCGTCGACCATTATGCGAAGGTCAAGCCTGAGGCTATCTATGCCGAATATCCGGTCTCTCTCATGAGCTATGAAGATGGCTATCGGCCAATTACCTTCAAGGCATTTGCCAATGCGATCAATGGCATTGCTTGGTGGCTGACAGAGAAACTGGGCCCCGGCAATGGCGAGATTCTGGCATATGTGGGACCCAACGATCTTCGATACCCGGCCTTGGTACTGGGCGCCGTTAAGGCGGGATATCGTGTAAGTGATTGGTAGGAATCAAGCTGTGGCAATGCATGAAATATTAACTATAGAACTCAGATGTTTCTCACATCCCCGCGGAATAGCGTGGCCGCTCATGGTAGCCTTTTCAAACGGCTCGAGTGCACCAAGCTGGTCTCTCCTGTGCCTCAACCTCCCCCAGTCAAGGCTATTCTGGAGGCGCAACCAACACTGGATGTCCTTGATGTCCCCAGTGTAGAGGATTTGATTAACAAGGACTATCCGCATTTTGAGCTCTCGAAGACCTACCTGGAAGCCGCCAGGGAGACTCTAGCTGTGATGTAAGCTCTGTCCCATACCCCTCACGAAATCTGACGAGGAATATGCAATACTGACCCGTTAGCCATACCTCCGGTTCCACGGGAATCCCTAAGCCGATCTTCTGGACCCATGACACCGCCTGCAAGCACATGCAAATGACTGCCTTGGATCCTCCGGAAGGTTTCGAGAGTCAAGACAGCTGGTTGTTTGGCAAGAGAATATTTCTTGTGCCGCCTCCCTTCCACGTAAGTTGCTTTCGTGCCAACCAACGATATATATGTGGTGTGGAGATCTAATAGCCCCAAAGGCTGCTGGGCTGGCTTATTCGCTTTTCATCAGTATCCCCGTCAGCACGACCATCATCTTTCCTGCATCCGGGGGTCTTCCTACTGCAACTGCATTGGTAGAGGCGAGAAAGAAAACCCCGATCGATATTCTCTTAGGTGTGCCATCAATTATCCAAGAACTCTCGCAAAGCCCCGAGCTCTTGGACTACTGCAGCATGCACATGAGCCGCTTAATATATTGTGGCGGGGATCTACCCCAACCGATTGGTGATACCGTGGCCGCTAAAATCAGACTTACCAATCTGTATGGAGCGTCGGAAGTGGGAATGATCAGCACTATTCACTCCAAAACAGACCGGGACCCACTGAAGGATTGGCGATATCTTCATATCAATCCCCGGATGGGTGCCGAGCTACGCCCAGTAACTGATAAAGAGCATGAGCTTGTCTTGGTCCGTAACCCGGAGTTTGAAGCACACCAGTTTTCTTTTACTATTTTCCCAGATCGACAGGAATATCATACGAATGACCTGTTTGTGCGGCATCCCAACAAGCCAGATCTCTGGCGCTGGAGCTCACGTGCAGACGATGTGATAGTCTTTCTTAATGGTGAAAAGACTAATCCAGTATCAATGGAACAGTATATTGCTGTATCCAATCCCGAAGTGTCTGCGGTCTTAGTCGCTGGTGCGCGCCGCTTCCAGGCATCTCTCCTGGTTGAGCTGGAACCTGGAAAGCAAGACCTCAATATAACAGAACGCGCCGCTATGATCGAGAAACTCTGGCCCAGTATTGAAGAAGCCAACGCTGTGTGTCCAGCACATGCACGTATAGCTAAAACCCATATTCTCTTTACCAAGGCTGGAAAGCGTATGCTTCGTGCCGGAAAGGGAACTATTCAGCGAGCTGGTACACTAGCTCTGTATGCAGCCGAGTTAGATGCCCTGTATACTGACGCGGATAGATTGACGCAGGCTGACAATGAACAACAAGCCAGTCTCGCTTGTGTGGATAATCCTCAGCTCCTTGCAGATTATATTCGGCAATCAATGATTGCTGTCACTAGGTGGAACCACCTTACAGACACTGAAAATTTCTTCGACCAAGGACTGGACTCTCTGCAGGCTATCACCGCGACTCGGGTATTCAGGAGGGGCCTTAATTTCCCGACATTCAGTCCTAACCTGATTTATCTCCATCCCTCCGTGGCGGAACTCACCCAGGCGGTTCTGCGCCTGCAGCAACATCAGGAGGCTTCTGCAGAGGCCACAAAGGAAGCCCAGCTACAACAGCGGGATCAGCTGCTGCAGGAGCTCAGTGGGCAAATTACCCCCCCCGCGCCTAAGAGACACATAGTCGTGCTTACTGGTTCCACCGGTAGCTTGGGCACGTATCTTCTTGATGCCCTCTTGAAAACCCCCTCTGTTGCTCATGTACATTGCCTGAACCGCAAGGCTGATGCTGTGGATAAACAGCGTCAAAAGAGCAAAGCGTACAGGTTGAACCTTGATCTTGATCCATCTCGTGTTAGCTTCTGGCCAGCAGATCTCTCAAAGGCAGGGTTAGGTCTAGAGCCTGGTGTTTTCGAGACCCTGCAACAAACTACTACACTGGTAATTCATAATGCATGGGCTGTCAACTTCAATCTCTCGCTGGCATCTTTCAGACCCAATCTAGCCGGTGTGGTAAATCTGATCAACTTCTGTGTACAGTCGGGGCAAATCCCACATTTGTTCTTCATCTCATCCATCAGCTCCACCATGGGTCACCGCACTGAAAACGGATTGACACCCGAGACAGTAATCAAGACAAACACACCGGCGCCTAATGGCTATGCCGATAGTAAGTATCTCGCAGAGCAGTTGCTAGACCAGGCTGCCCGGCAGGATCCTGTGCATGTACATGCCTCGTTTGCCCGCGTGGGTCAGGTTGCCGGTCCAGTGCGCTCGCCCGGCCTATGGAACAAGGCGGAATGGTTCCCGAGTCTCGCCTTGAGCTCCCTTCACTTGGGTGCTCTTCCCAACACGCTCGGGCCGGCCCTGGATCGCGTCGACTGGATGCCGATCGACCTCCTAGCTGAAGTTCTGGTAGACCTGGCACTGCGTGACGATGGAGCGGCAGTCGGTGAGTCTGTCAAGGTGTATCACCCGGTGAACCCGCGCCCCCTGAACTGGGAGGCTATTCGTTCAACTGTAGCAGAGGCCCTCTCGAAAGTCTCTGGGAAGACAGTGGATACCATCCCCTTCCAAGACTGGGTGCAGCGCGTCCGTCAGGATATTGAGAGTGGCTCCAAGCTGAACGACGGTGAGCTGCAGGCGCTCCTGGCCAGGAACCCCGCCGCCAAGCTACTCGAGTTCTTCGAAGGGATAATGTCTCAGACTGAGCGTGAGAATGTTCTGGACACACGGCTCACGGTACAGCTGAGCGACAAGCTGCGAGCAGTGGATGCGGTGACACCTGCATGGATCCATAAGTGGGTTGCCGAGTGGCTTCAGTGATTATTTGACGTGAGCCGGAGTTGATAGCGCAGTTTTAATACATGTTTGCCTTGGTTATAGCAATGAATAGAAGTATGTCGATTCTTTGAAACTATTACGTTCCATTAGGACAACGCTTGGTAGTTGACTGTTGTAAGTTAGTCAATACCATACTTGGACACTGAGGCCAGTGGTATTACCCCTCCATCACAAGTTGCTAGGTGAACGAGCCCCATAGTGCGGAATCTTACTAGTATTAAAGTAGTGAAGTATAATGCGGAATTGTGGCTCTGCATCGCTGTATGTAATATCCATAGGCTTCAATATTTATACATCCACTACATAATAGACATTGTTTTTCTGTTTATATATCTTTGTCTAGTTGACAGAGTATTAGTATTTATTCTTCATAGTAGCTCTCCTATGATATGCTCTAAATCTTTTAGGTATATATTTTCATATACGCGCTTCTATATACATATATATCTTTCGATTCCGGGTAATAACTCAAGATATACAGAAAAGCTCTAGTATATGAACAATTTATCAAATTTGAGAGCATGGTCAAACGCATAACTCTGCATAGGCTGTCCACCATAAAATCTAATGTCTCAAGAAGAACTCTTAAGATACACTGACTACTGAATATATATCCTGTGGTGAATCAAACGTGAACCCGGCTGAAGCAATGTAATAGCGTATGAGAAAAACGCCCATCATTCGTGACAATCACCCAGCAGCCCAGACCTACCCAAAGGTAGATGAGGTTCTATTTCATGGTGATATCATATCACGGCCGCACATCTTCATGCCTTGGACATAGCTTCACTTAGTTCTTGAGAATCGGATACACGCGCTTTCCCAATAGAGATCATATCAGTCCCAACCATCCTTAGCACGTTCCTGAGGGTCCCAACATGACTCAGGTCGAAGAAATTGGAATCCACTAGAAAATATGAATCTATCGCCTGTCTATCCTGAACATTTTATTATTTCACATGTGATTGCGCGGGTCTCTTGCCCCCTGGTCAAATTAAACTGCCGTTCATTGGCCAGCGCAGGTGAGGTAAGCATTACTCACGTGACTGGGCGCACGCGACACCGCTGGTCGGAAGAGGAAAGGTCGCAGGAGCAGAGACGACCGCTATCAACACGTGCGATAAGACCGGTTTTGACAGCATGGCAAAAAAAAAAAAAAAGCAAAATACCTCTTTGTCGCCTTCGACCCCGGTTACATCACTCCTCACTCTGGTTATACGTGGCAGGAATATAGGACAAAACATGAATACAACATACTGTAGGCAGTCGTAGTACGGAAAATAAAAATGGTTTACTGTATATGAAGTGGAATATTGTACAGTACATAGATCGAGTAGCTACAAAGTACATGCCAGATACCTCCCGACAAGAACCAGGGCAATCGGGTCAGGGAACCTAGCTGTAGCCAATGACATTGTGTTCCCTTGTTCCTTTGAAGCTCTCCGACAGCTTTCAGCAAAAATGTTGAGAGGAATCGAACCGATTTGGACAAAAGTATTAAAAGCAAAGGTCTTGAAGCATGTGAAAGTGGGTCAGAAACGACAAGAGACAATGTGGGTAAGATATCGTAGTGGAGGCTCTCCAGAGTCCACGGCTGTTAGTCCACGGGGAAGAGGCTCCATCCGGGCAGTGGATCGGCATATCGATAGAGGGGGTGCGTTGGTTGCCTCGAAAAAAGAAAAAAACGTGAGTAGGCTATACGATATAGACAACGTTCATGATGTGGGAGGGGAGAGTTTATAGTTGGCACTACAGATGGAGATGGATTGACTAGATCGTCCTAGTGAGCCTTCTGTACCTTGCGAGATGCATTGAAAGTAGGGTTAATGGTGGTGTTCTGACCTTCTCACTGGTGCAAATGAACCCCTGTTTAGCGTGCGTGTTGAGAGCTGGCTAACCCGTCTGGGTATGAGAACCCGGAAAGCCTGAACTTTGGCCTGGAAAACATGGAAAAAAAATAATATTAAACGATCGATATCATTATCGTCCCCCCACTATGCTAAGAGAGTATCCACGGAAGCGAAAAAAATAGCCATTGGGTCTCAGTCCCCCATAATGTTGTCCCTCCTTCGTGTTCCAATGGAATTTCTCGGTTTGCGACCAAGGCAACGGACGACCTGTGAGTTTTATTTATCACCTGGCACCTTGCCTTCTTTTCCCATCAACCCTTTAGGAATACCAGTGACTAACAAACAATTCACTTTTGACTTCCAGATCCCACGACAGTCAACTTAAATACCCTCTCTCGTTAATCGCTTGATGCCTTGAATATCCCTCCATCAGCTTCCTTCTCTTCATTCTCATTATCCTCCTCCTCCTCCTCCTCCTCATCTTCCTCACCCTGAATTCCTCTTGCTTGTGTAACGATATCACGATACCATGTCGATCATTGATACCACCAAAGACCTTTCCGCGCTCTTCACAAAACAAGTCCAGGCGACACCCGATGCTATTGCCTTAGAAGATGAAAGCACCACCTACACCTATGCTGAATTAGATACAGAGGTTGAGACCTTGACTCGCCGCCTTCGTGGCTACGGAGTCGGTCGGGACAGTCTCGTGGGGGTACTGCTACCGCGCAGTGCGGACTACGTAGTGGCCTGCCTGGCGGCTCTCCGTGCGGGCGGCGCATTCCTGGTACTAGAGCTGGCATACCCCCCTGGTCTCCTGGCCGATGTGATTGAGGATGGGAGGCCAACAGTCGTCATTACAAACCGGGCAGAGGTTGGCAAGATTAAAGCCAGCGTTCCGGTCATCATTCAGGATGAGCCGGCCCCAGCGGCCAATGGACATGTTTCAGGGCCCTCTCCCCTCCCGTCAGACGACGACTTGGATCGCCTCGCATTTGTATCATATTCGTCCGGAACCACAGGCAAGCCGAAAGGCATTGCTAATCCCCACCGCGCCGCAGTTCTCTCCTATAACCTGAGATTTGGCGTGTCAGACCTGCAACAGGGAGATCGGGTGGCCTGTAATGTCTTCTTTGTCTGGGAGATCTTGCGTCCGCTGCTGCGTGGTGCGACAGTGGTTGCGGTGCCAGATGATGCAAGTTATGATCCTGCGGCGCTCGTCGACCTGCTGGCGGCAAAGAAAGTCACGGAAACTCTGATGACCCCCACCCTCTTGGCTACGGTTCTTGCCCGTCACCCCCACGTAGGTGACCGGTTGCCTGATCTGCGCACGTTGTGGTTCAACGGTGAAGTCGTCACAACGGATCTTGCCCGGCGTGCCAGTAAGGCTTTCCCCCAGACGCGGCTCCTCAATTGCTATAGTGCATGTGAAACCCATGAGATCGCCTGTGGGGACATCCGCGAGATGTTGCAGCAGATCGACAGTGATGCGCTGTATTGCCCCGTGGGTCCCCCCATTGACCCCGAGAATACGTACGTTTTGAACGAGTCCCTGCAAAAGGTGGACGCGGGCGTGAGTGGAGAGCTATTCCTGGCAGGTCCCCAACTCGCCCGCGGATACTTGAATCTTCCAGAGACAACCGCTAAAGCATTCATCACGAATCCTTTCGACTCGAACTCCAGCTCGCGCTTGTACCGGACCGGTGATATTGCCCGATTGCTCCCGTCGGGACTGCTAGAAATCACGGGACGTGTGGGTGCGATGATCAAATTGCGCGGGTACTCTGTCGTACCGGCTAAGGTGGAATATGAGATTGTCACGCATTTGGCGGTCTCCCGCTGCGCGGTGGTGGCCTATGGAGAAGGCCTGGAGCGTCAGTTGGTCGCGTATATTGTGCGAGACCAGGAGAAGTCGGATGATCGTCCCGAAGTAGAGATCAATGATTCCGGCCACAGCCCAGCGGCGCGCCGCACCCTCGCGCCTCACTTGGCCCATTATATGATCCCGGCTCTCTGGGTTGAGTTGGATGACCTGCCAACCCATGAAGTCACGGGCAAAGTCGACCTGAAAAACCTCCCGCCACCCCAGAGCCCTCAATTAGTGAATGGCAATGGGCCCAAACCAGCTAAAGACTCGATTAAGCTTGATGAGATTGCATCCATCTGGGCCGCCGTCCTGAAAACGTCTCGCTCCCTTCTCAAGCCCAGTGATAACTTCTTTGACCTTGGTGGACACTCCTTGTCTCTGGCCGACCTCTCTTCCCGGCTATCGAGGCATTTTGGCTTCCGCGTTCCAATCACTCGTCTTGCAGAAAATACCACCCTGACGGGCCACCTGGAAACAGTTCGGGGAATCCGGGATGGGCACACAGCCGCTGTGCAAGCCGATCTTCCAGCGGTCTTGCGTGCTGATGCGACACTGGATGATGAAATCACGCCCTGCAAGGCTACGGCTTGTCCTATTGACAAAGCGGATACCGTGCTGCTGACCGGTGTGACCGGTTTCCTGGGAGCATTCCTTCTTCATGATCTGGTGGAGCACACTTCTGCCCGGATTATCTGCTTGGTAAGGTTTAATGAACCAGCCGATGACGATCAGCCCGGTGGTATTGCCCGTATCCGGCGGAACCTCTTGGATTTGGGCTTATGGCGCGACTCAATCATGGAGCGGGTCGAGATTCTCCCTGGAAACCTTTCACGTACCCGTTTTGGTCTTTCCCCAGCAGCGTTCGACGAGCTCGCAAGCCGCGTCCAGGTTGTTGTGCACGCGGCGGCGACGGTGAACCTGGTGTACCCATACGCTGCATTGCGCGGCCCCAATGTGGGCGGCACCAGAGAGGTGCTCCGCCTGGCCTGCAAGGGAGGCGCAACCGTGCAGTATGTCTCCACGAACGGTGTGTTGCCTTCATCCGGGGAGTCTGGCTGGCCCGAGGATGCCCTGTTGGACGTCGACCAAGTGCCCGACAAGCTGCTGGATGGGTATGGCCAGACCAAGTGGGTAGCTGAAAAGCTTGTCCTCGAAGCGGCTCGCCGGGGATTGCCGGTGAAAGTCCATCGTGCTGGCACTATCAGTGGCCATAGCGCTACCGGTGCTGCCAACGCATGGGATCTACTCACTGCTCTTATGGTCGAGTCTATCCATCTCGGATATGCCCCCAATGTGGACGGCTGGCGGGCGGAGATGACCCCTGTGGACTTCGTCAGCAAGGCCATCGCCCACCTCGCCACCCAGACACACGCGGACCAAACGGTCTTCCACCTGGGTGACCCAAACCCGCTCAGCATGAACTCCGTCTTCGCGGAACTTCAAGAGCTCGGCTACCCCACTCAGCCACTGGGCTGGGAGGAGTGGGTGGCCCTGTGGACCCAGAAACGAGGCCCGGTGAAGGGAGGCGATGGTGCGTTTACCGTTGACATCCTCCGCAGTGGTATGCCTACCGTTGAGTTCCTCCGGGACGTTGTCGTTCTCAACAATGCCGCAACCCAGCCATCCTTGGCCGACTTGGACCGACCCCAGGTGGGCCGGGCTCTGCTCGAAACCTATACGCGTCATTGGTTCGCCCGAGGATGGCTGACACGGCCTCCCTCCCGGCAGGCTGCCCTGGCGAGCTCACCAAAGCCGAAAGGTCCTCTGCATGGTAAGGTGGCCGTTGTGACCGGTGCATCCTCTGGCATTGGTGCCGCCGTGGCAGTGGCATTGGCTCGCGAAGGCTGCCACGTCGCCCTCGCTGCTCGGCGGGTGGACGCTCTCGAATCAGTAAAGAGTCGAATGACGGCCTATGGAGTGAAGGTGATCGCGCGACCAACCGATGTGACGAATTGTGAACAGGTTGGAGCTCTTCTCACTGCGGCAAATGAAGAGTTGGGCCCTGTCGACATCCTTGTTTCATGTGCGGGTGTGATGTACTTCACCATGATGGCGAATGTGAAGACTGATGAGTGGGATCGCACGGTCGACGTCAACTGCAAGGGTCTCCTGCACTGTCTCTCTGCCACTGTGCCGGGCATGCTCGCCCGTAGCCGCGGCCATATTGTTGCCATCTCTTCCGATGCCGGCCGCAAAGTCTTCCCTGGCCTTGGCGTCTACTCCGCTAGCAAGTTCTTCGTCGAGGCTACGCTCCAGGCCCTGCGACTGGAGACAGCGGGCACCGGCTTGCGCGTGACCAGCATCCAGCCGGGAAATACATCAACTCCCCTTCTGAACATGTCAACAGACACCGAAGCCGTGAAGAAATACGGCGAACCATCTGGAGCTCAGATTCTTGACCCAGAGGACATCGCCAACTCGATTGTTTATGCTTTGCGTCAGCCCGAACATGTCTCGGTCAATGAAGTCCTTGTTGAACCCCGGGACGAGCCAATTTAGGCTGGGTGCTCTTTTTTCCCACGCTGTTCGAATTTGTTTTGGATCATCTTATTTTAGCGTCGCGATGTCTTTTACTTTGACTGATTTTTCTTTTCATTTCTGCTCTTGTTCTTTCCACGCAAACTTATGGAAAGCTAGATATGGGATCTTACACCGCTATACTGGTATGGTCATATTAGATCAGCGAACTTATGTGAACTTTATAAAGATATATACTACTATTGAAGTCTATTATCATCGGCTACATACCGCCCGCTGCAAAGGGAAGTGGATATGTGATGTATGTCTGTATATGTCCGTCGGATCATTACTATGAATAGAGTCCACAATGAGGAGTCCCACCCGGTAAATATCGAACCAATCAAGGCAATTGAAGTTCCGGGTAAAAGATTCTAGGCAAACATGGCAAACATGAGTGAATCATTCTATGCATCAAGTTTTCTTTCTTTCTTCTCAGGTCCTCGCAATCCGGATTCAAATAATACTGTCAAAAATCACTAGTCTTCAGCCTGTCTGACCTACGTGATGGGGCTGTCTACCGCCTCTCCGACCAGCGGTGATCTTATACAGAGGCCCATTCATAGTAATGAAGTACTAGAATTGGGCACCTACAACGGAAATGAACCCAACTACAGCAATGACGCATTCGAGATGGGCCGACTACCCTCATCAGCAGAAAATGAGGTGCAGGAGCCAGACTCGGCCGAAGACAAGTCCCGCGGCAATTGGAGAATTGCTGCTATTATGCTCGCCCTTTCAGTGAGTTGTTAGCACCCAATGCCGGAAATACATATCAAGCCCTGATAACTGACGCTAAGACTAGCTCAGCCTCTTCATTTCTGCTCTTGATCAGACTATTGTGGCTACCGCAACACCAACGATCTCCGCAGAGCTCCACTCGGGCACAGGCTATGTGTGGATTGGTGGCGCATATCTGATTGCTAACGCAGCGAGCTCTAACATCTGGGCAAACCTATCCGATATCTGGGGGCGCAAGCCGATTCTCCTCTCGGCCGTTGCTTTGTTCTTTGGGGCTTCAATTATCTGTGCCAAAGCCATCAACATGCCTATGTTGATTGCAGGCCGTGGTGTACAAGGTATCGCTGGTGGCGGGCTCATTCAACTCATTACCATCACCATTTCCGACCTCTTTAGCGTCCGGTATTTATGACTCTCCCCGAAAGAATGTTACACTTGGTTCTGACCGACTTTAGACTCCGCAGTCTTTTTATGGGCCTCATCGAATTTATCTGGGCAATTGCCGGGGCTTTAGGTCCCATTGTAGGCGGTGCCTTTACCCAGTCAGTTTCCTGGAGGTGGATATTCTGGATCAATCTGCCTATTTGTGGAACGGCATTCGTGCTCCTTCTGTTATTCCTGGATGTGCACAATCCGAAGACTGGTGTCATGGACGGCATAAAAGCGGTCGATTGGTTTGGTAGTTTCTCCATTCTTGGACTGACGGTCATGGTTTTGCTGGGCCTTGACTTCGGAGGAGCCACCTTTCCTTGGGGTTCGCCGAAAGTGATCTGTCTTATTGTTTTTGGCTGCCTGATGTCGCTATTTTTCATTTACAGTGAGAAGCGCCTAGCAAAGTATCCGCTTATGCCGTTGGGCATATTCAAGAACCGTTCTAATATGGCCTGCTTCGTTGTGGCGCTCACACATGGCTTTGTGAGTATTCAAAGTGTTCCGCTCGGTCGGATCTAACCAGACCAGACACTGACGGTCTGCAGGCTTTTCTTGGACAAGAGTACTACCTCCCACTGTATTTCCAATCAGCAAAGGAAGCGTCTCCTTTCCACTCGGGCCTTCTAATTCTCCCGTATGTTTTGGCAGAAGCTGCCACGAGTCTTGCCGCAGGAATTATTATTCACCACACGGGCCATTACCTCGAAGTCGTGTGGACCGGCACTGCACTTGTACTCCTGGGGAGTGGTCTGCTTATCGATTTCAACGCTACCTCCTCACTTGCGAAGATTATCTGTTATCAGATCGTGGCAGGTGCCGGATGTGGCTTGCTCTTCTTCCCGCCCCTCCTCGGCCTCCAGAGCAATGTGCCGCAGGACCAAAATGCCGCCGCGACTGCAACATTCGGCTTTATCCGTAATATGGCCATGGCCATGTCAGTGGTGCTCGGTGGCGTAATTTTCCAAAATAGCATGGACACACGGCAATCCAGCCTCCTGGCAACGGGTCTGTCTGACTCCATGGTGAATGAGCTCACTGGATCAGAAGCTGCGGCTAACGTGATGGTCATTCAATCCATCACGGATACACTTCAACGAACTGTCGTCAAGGATGCCTACGCTTGGAGCTTGCGCAACATTTGGATCCTCTACACCTCCTTAGGGGCGTGTGGACTTCTCTTCAGCCTGTTCATTACTCGCCAGCACCTCAGTGTGGAACATGTCGAGACCAAGACTGGTCTAAAAGAGAAACAGCCACTTACCGAACCTCGGCATAACGAGCCTGTCTCCGAACCCTGAGTCATAGCCTCGCCATGACCTTGGTGATCCATGCGTGCTGAACAATACTTTCGGGCCTAACATTCAAGTTGATTATATTTTTTGCACTTTCGGGAACTGTCGATATTGCGGGTATATAAAAAGCACATTAATGTTCAGAGCGATCACGTCTTCTCATGTACATAGCCAAGAACAAGCTATATATGATAACCAAAACCAACCACAAAAGCCTTACACCCCCCCCCCCCCAACCCCTTTCTAAAACATAGCAGCAACAGCAACAGCTGCCGCCCCAGCCAAAGGCATACCAGTAGCAACAGCCCTAGCATTGACCGGCGCCCCAATAGCAGCAGCCCCAGGCGTCTGCGTCGCCTGCGGCATAGTGAAAGAATCCACACCACCAGTAACCAACAACCCCCACGTCGTAATCTTATCACTAGCGACACTGACCTTCGTCGACGTCGAGCTCGACCACGACCCCCCTTTGAACGTCCCCGTCGCCTTCATCGTCAACGCACAAGACGCCGACTCCGACCAGTGCTTGAACGTGCAGGAATAGTCCTGCGTCGCCGTCACTGCATCCTTCTCACTACTCCAGGCCGTGTAAACGCCCGTCACGCTCCACGATTCTTGTGCCTGGATCATGGTCCAGGGCTTGTCGATCTGGCAGAGTGACTTGGGCGCGTCTTTGGTGCAGCTGATGTGGTAGGTTGTTTCTTTGGCGTTGATTCCTGCTACGCTGCCCGCTATGCCGGAGTACGTGGGCTGCCAGAAGGACACACTGGCGCCGAAGTAGGGGGCCGTGGTTGTTGTTTCATCCTTGGCGGCGACGAGGGCCGTAGCGGCGAGGGTGAGGAGGGCGGTTTTCAGTTGCATTTTTGAGGTGTATCTTTTTTTTTTTTTTTTTTTTTTCACTTCTTAGGGTTTGTCTGGTTTTATATAATATGGATGAGGTGGGATGCGATGAAAGTCCCCAGGATACTCGTTTTTATTGTGATATCCAGTAGTGTTAGAGTAACAAATATAAAACATCCAGAACAAGCAGAATCAAACACACAAGTATCAAAAAAGAAGAAAGAAAAACGGTTCCTCTTATAATAATCCCAAAAAGAACGCCCAGAAAGTAAGCGTCCCCGTTAGCCCAAACACATGCTCAATTATCCCCTGTCTACGCGCCGGCAGTTTTCTTCCCAATGTAACCTGACCACCAAGCTCCATTTAATATCTACCCTAACATGGAACCGAATGAGGCTAAATAAAAGCCACAGGGATGGTCCGAACATAAGAAGCCGACAGGGACCAGGGTTCGTGATTGGATAGTACATTTACTTTTGTGAGTCACAATGCACAATGGGTATCCTCAGTGGTTGCTCGTTGGAAAAACAGTGGGAGGCTATTGGAATTATTGAAATTACTACTTGCCTTAGGGCTTCGTTAGCGCTGGGGGTTTTCGGGGCCGTTTTTTGCTGGGGTTTTCCTTGTTAAGGCTTAGCTATCTGGAGGTCGTGCTTTTTTGGGTTTGGTTCCCGACGCTAGAGGTATTGATGTTACTCTATGAGAGGGGGGGCTTTATATTAGGCTGGAGATTCGGCTGCGGAGAAGTTGTGCATAAGCCTCTTGACTTATGTCTAGTGGTGGTGGTGGTGGCTGCTACTGTTACCTATGCGTGGGGATGGTGTGTGGGTTGCTTGTGCAATCTTGCGAACCTGTATAGGCATATTTGGGGTAAGTCGGTTACTCTCGACGGTGCCCGCCCAGGTAATGTTATAGAGATCTTCGTTCAGAGGGATCCGAGAAACTGCACATAGTCCTGTATTAACATGTTCCGGGGTAGACACTCGTTCACAATGATCGATTGACTGCCAACCAAGAGTGGTAGTCATAATGCGTTCTATCCCGCAGCTTGATATGATTGGTTTAAGTTGAAGTTACAGAAACAGACCGGTCAGAAATATCAGAACCAGAACTTGGGTTTTGTATTATGGGAATTATACATTCAGTCATCCAGTCCCTGGTGGTCCCTTACTCACTTTCTCTATGTAATGTCATATTTGCTTGGTGTTGGACACTGCCCTGTTCCGTGAGACATGCTTGGCGCAAAAAAAAAAATACAGGCTTCAGGTATGAGCTCTCACTCAAACTCCCCTCTCTGTAGCCATATACATCCATATTGTGTCCGAAGCAAGCCTATGTACTAAGGCACAGGGAAGGGCCGCTTCATTGCCACTCAGCCTCATCGAAGACATGCAGGAATAAGCCTGACGGGTGGAAGACCGATTTCTCTGAATGGGTGCACTATCTTCAAACAACCCCTGAAGGATCCTGCCCTCCCGTTTGATTCCGAAAGTTACTCCCTCGTCTGTCTCTTGCGCTGGTATTGCTAGCTGCTGTGGTATAATGGGGTTTTATCTATGTATAGGACTACATGCTGTTGCTGCTGTGAAAAAAAAAAAAAAAAATACTAGACAGCACCAGGAATTAATTCGTTATAGTGGTAATTGACACGGCCTACGGCCCGCCGTGTGCTCTATACGCAAGTACACTGTACCGCCTACCTTTATTTGCTATACTATATGGTGAGCTAAAAGTCTGAGTATATAAGCGTATTCTCGCGACGCATCCAAAATTCGCAACCTTCTGAACCACCTAAGCCTCCGTCCAAATAAGAGCTTTTGAAACCCGACTGTCTAAAAAAGGGTTTCCTAGCAACCCAGAGCTGGGAGTATCCTGTATGTCGAGAATGGCAAAGTCCCTGTTGGCTTGATTGCTTATTTTACAGACCAGCTAGATATGATAGTTCGAGGATATTATGGTCAGGAAATTCATTGAAAGCAACAGGTACATCACTTTTACAAGAGGCAATATGCCTGTCAATCAAAAGTTGTTCCAATAATTTTTATCTATGTACCGGCATCTCGCAGTAATGTTCCTCTTTGATCGTGTGGTTCAGCTTAGATCTGATTAGCTCACCTACAGAGACACAAATGCTATGACGTGTATAAGCAGTAAAGCATTGCTCTAATCAGCGAGCTATTTAGGAATTTCTGGCCAGTAAGTTGCCTTTTAACAGGATTGGTGTTTAGGCTCAGATAGCTGAGAGAGTTTGGCAGTCATCTATCCAAGTATTTATTCATAAACTAGTCTTATCCCCCTGAGTGTTATGGCGTCCCTTTTATATATAGCATTGTAACTGTAAAGGATGTGTAAACCTGAGTATACCCTATATATTACCCCATAAAGACGCCTATGGTGTCTGGACATTTTAGGTGGTCGAATGGGATAATCTGTTCGTTTATCAGGATGAATACAGATGATTAGCCCTTAGATTCCTCAGATTACGCAACTTAGGTGAAACCCATCAACTATTTGCTCCAGGGTTCTAGATAGTGAACCGACTCACTGATCTCGTCCTTTCCATGTTTCTATTTCTTTCGCTACAATCACTCTTCTCTTATTACCTCAACATTTCTGTTATATGACGTCTCAAGATGGCAATGATCCTTGGTACAGAATCTACTAGCCTTTCGTGGGCCATGCGGCCTAGGGCTGCCTGCGAGTTAACTACGTCCAAACCCACCTCGAAGCGCGCCATTTCGACTCACACTCGCGCCCAAGTCAAGTCCTCCATCAACATGAAGCCGGCTCCTGATTCTGATCTAACAGTGAGAGGCTGAGCTTGAAAAGGTCATTTCAGCTATCACCTCTCTTGATATGATCACCAAAGACCTTGTTGACAACCTTAGAATCTTCTGTATGGAGAGAGTAGAGTTCAAGTACCTAAAGGTACGCTATTCTATCTTACTGAAGGGTCTAAGTGAATCAATACATCTGATACAGATCCAGATCAGCGAGCTAGAGTATGAAAATGGGCTCGACTGGTGCGACGAGGAGTATAGTGAGATAACCGGCATTACTATGGAGTACAACCCGAAGGTCGGCACAGTCATATTTAACTCACGAGGAGCCTCGGTCCTTGACTCATCTTGTCAAGACGTTCTCTTGTCCTGGCTTCACGAAATCCAAGACTCGACTCCTGAAGAACCATTGTTTGTCCATCATGAAACAGGTAGGTGCTTGTAACGTGCTACATATTGGCACAGACTAACAATATACCAGAAGTCGACGGCTTAGGTAAGATGCCTGATGTTCATCTCGGTCGCGAGGGTTCATTTCTCCCCATAATTATGGTGGAGATCGGATTTAGCGAGGCCCTTGAAGAGATGTTCGACAGCGCACAGGAGGTTCTTCACAAATCAAAAGGTGTGACTCAGGTCGTAATTCTTCTGAAGATCTACGAGGAAGGACGTGCTAAACTCACGGGACACCCCTGAGGCCTTACTAAAACCGAGATCGAGGATAAGACTAAGGACTACACTTTAATTCAAGCCGTTTTGAATTGGCACAAGGAGAACAAGGTCAATATTGTTGGGCGTTTGAGGGTGCACTTGTATATCTGGGGCGCAGAGCGTAAGCAGCCGCCTCCAAATCCTATTTGGAAGTTTGAGATTGACCCTGATACCCCCGTCAGCAGCGAGGGAACTTTCTGCTACAATTTGAGAAATAGGTTCCTTGACCGCGACTTTCGACTCAAGATATTTGGCGGTTTGTTCCCTCTGCCTGTCGAAAAGATCAGGACAGGGTTGAGGAAGGCCGTTGAACGAGAAATGGGAAAAAGAGCACGCGCATACCTTCAAACACAACTTCCCCGTCGTCACTTCTGGCTGGTAGTCTCTTTGTTTCTTAGAACGACTTTCTCCAGGTTTTATGGGATCATTACTAATTAAACCAAACTGTATGCCTAGAGTGAAAATCCTCACGATAACACTTGCTATCCTGGAAGACAAAGATTTCTACTTTAGTAGGCATATCATAGATGCGACAGACTCTTGAGATTCCTGAGCTGGTACGGGCTCGATCGGACAGGCGCGCATTTCCTTAATGTGGCTACTACTTCATTTTCGAATATTTCACTTATCGACGCGAGCTGATAATACCCACTTTGTCTTTTAGCCCTCTGCTTGTATACTTTCAAATAAAAAGTACACTTTGCAGATTGCTCTCAACCCTTCTCATCATGAAGAAAGAGGCGTCCGAAAAATTGATGCTAGCCGACCCGGCCCTGCTAGACAAGTTTGACAAGCTGCTTATTGACTTGTAAGGTCAGTATCTCTATCATTATTCCAGTATCTGACTTGAATATTGACTGTGCTGGTAGACTTGGAGCATGGCACACTGAGAGTATCGATGCCTTGGAGTCTATTTGTTACTCCAAAATCATGCAAGAAGTCCATGAATTGATGGAAGTCACTGGAAATTAGGCTCTGTCGACTTTCTCTAAAGATGTCCCCCGCTTAGAACCTCGATGTCTTCTGCTCTAGTCCTTTGAGTGTCTTCTACCTCCCTACCACTCACCTCGATGTCTTCTGCCATACTTGCGTCTCGGGTGTTAACGATCTGAGAAGAACCGCAAAAGGGGCTAGATTCAGGTATCATGCAATAATCAATCAATCATTGTGATAACACACCCCCAAGCCATATGTAATGGGGACCAGGCAGAGGAGCAATCCTGATACGGGACAACGGCCGCCGCCGAACACTACCTCCGACAATCCCAGGGGGCTTGCAAGGTCCTCAATCCTACAGGTCTTGAGAAGAACAGTAAGAAAGGCACAGCAGAATGCTTGACTAAGGCGTTAGGTGCACTGGCGCAGTTGCCTCTATACGCAGCTTAAAGATCGGTTAGTACTGGCTGTATCTTTCTAGTATACAGAGTACTGTTCGGTACAGAGCAAGGATTTTAAATCGTTTTATATTTCTCCTTTAAATCTACGTCTAGTGAACTATGCATTGGCACGAAACTATGCGGATCCAGGCATTTTAAACCTTATGCTGGCTACGCACGATATTTCTGCCTAACATCTTGACATTTCAGGAGCTTGTCCTGCAGAAGCCAGGATTTTCTTGATTTACGACTTTCAGGAAGTCAGCTACAGAATATCAGCACCGTATCTGCGAAGTTACCGGCTGCAAAGCTAGCAAAGCTATACCAATTACTATTGCTCGCATATATCATGGACCTACCGGATATATTTGCTGCCATTTCAAACAAAATTCTCCTTGTGTATATGGGCGCCAATGCTGAGTTGTCCTTGATGGTGAATCATCCACTCATTCACAGAGATATCGCTGGTAGTCGACTGGAAGGGGCTATCGAACTTCCGTACCGGCAGGCTAAATACAACTACAAACTACGATACGACGCAGGCATACTCTCCGAGCATCTCGACAAGTTGAACACGTAACCTTTACTGTAAATGGGGCGTGAATGGGGTCATCAACCAATTCATGTTATAGAAATCCCTCCCTCGCGAGGAACAGGACATCTTACACAGCCCAATACCTTTTCTATGCACATGTTCTATAAACATATGCAATAGAAATCTGTTTGAGCCAGACACTTCATATCCTGGTAGAAGGCAGTGTCCCACACCCCAGTGGTATATGACTGCCAGGGGCCCAAACTCTGCAGTGATCATCCATTCAAGTAGCGACTGAGGCCATAGAAGATGCCGATCACCGCCTATTGTCACATAGGCTACAAGTTTAATAAGGTACCTGAGGAGTACTACGATAGCGATGATGACATTGATAATGTTTACATAATTGAAGGAGGAGGCGATGGATCAGTTGTTCATTCCCCGTTAAGAACATGGATATAAAGTCCTAGAAAGAACACTTTTACTATATGCATAAACGGGAGTAATGGTAAACTCTAGCCAAAACTTCCTGGAAAGGATAGGAAGGAGCTGGACAAAGTCGAAAGGCGACAATATTGTCCCGGACAATGATACCGTGAGAAGCATGGAGATGTGGTTTCGATTTTTGACAAGCTCGACAGCCTAACCAAGTTAATTTTTGAAAAGAGGACTGGATTAGCCTATTGCAACTAACAAATACCAACCCCTGTCACACAGAGTATTACTTTCAGCGTCAAAATCGCGCTCGCCAAGTGCATAGGATGAAGCCAGCACAAAAAAACTACCATATACTTATGTATTCGTCCACCGATTGCCCTTAGTACTGAACCTACTGTAGCAACAAACCACTAGATAACAATATTCCCCTTCCAAATCCTGTTTTGAGGAAGTCAAAGGCAGAATTCAGAAAACAGCAGCAGATCCCTTGACTCTTAGCAAACCCCAGCTGAATTCAGAATATCGTTCGTCGTTACTGGGTTCATAGATCGGCGCACGCCAAGAACGAACTAACCTTTTGACCCCTGGTAGCTGCGAGGCTCTACCAAAAAAAAAAAATAAAAATAAAAATAAAAATAAAAATAAATAAATAAATAACTCGGTGATCCAAGACCCCACTTTATGTGTACCGTGCTGATATTTGGGAATATCATCTCTGTTTCGGCATAAGAACGCCCTAGTGACACTGTCTTGGAACATTATAGAAGATAGTACATGATAGAGTATGCTGTGACTTTGCCGATTTGTGGGTGACTCGGTTCTCAAGGTCCTGGGTAAGGGACATGGAAAGGAATTATGAGCCGTCGTTCGAGAAGGTCATTTTTATATCTGGGGTGATGGATGGTATTCTCTGGGGCTGGAGTCCATGCCATTACACAGCGGGGTTTCAGCTAGAGGGAGAATCAGCAGTCGGACAATGGGACTCGGCCTATAAGTCTTCCAGTCTAGCGCATATGCTGATTGAGACACATTGACAAGTTAATCTGACAGGCACTTTCAAGAAGCCACTGGATGACCATAATGCCCCATCGCCACGCAGGCTCAAGGTAATCGATATCACTGGAAACTGTATAATTAAAGCTCTTCCAGAATACTATGCATATGTAACTCTCCGCTGTCTCCACGGAGGATGCGTATTAGTACGATGGTGTATATCACCCTCAGAAGCTTATGACGGAACCCTTTTTTCCTGCCAATCTCATTGAATGTTCTCATACAAGCAGTAATTTCCAAACCTAAGCAAAATGTATGTTCAGCTCTTCAATGTCTCCATTCACAACTATATACAATTTCAATTCCTGAGTCATTATAGCTTGGACTTCCAGCCGGTAGATACAGCCTGCAATACCACTCCTGTCATCATAAGGACCTTTTCTTCTTCGAGTCGCCGTGCCACTAACTGCAGGCTGACCGGCATCCCGTCAACTGCAGATGCATTATCTAGAGATCAGAGGTTAGTATGGCCTATCTGAGGGCCTTTTAAAACCATAAGTGTGGATGATGCACGTACAATCATGCTGTATCCTGGCATCTACATCACTCAATGCCTTGTGGCCGTGATACGACGTATCCAAAGCCTTGCTGGCCTTCACACCGCAAGGGAAGGAAACAGCGGAGTAGTCGAGGATGTTGAATACACCAGTATATCCCACATATGCAAACTTACCGTGCTCCACAGAGCTGTAAGGGGTTGTTGGGCCTGGTTCAAAGGAAACAAGTTAGTCAATTCAGTCCAAGGGTATGAGCCAGGAAGGAAATCAGAATCATACAGAGAATTCCATCAATCCCACTAGTATTCCATCGGTGCAGATAATCTTTCTGTAGATTATTCCGCTCAAGATGAATCTGCCACATTTTATGGACACCAAGCTCCGTTGCCTTCTCGTAATCTCGCATTTCCTCCCGGAACGGCTCCCCCGTCGGTGCCAGTAGTCCACGCACTGACTTGCCTCCGTCGGCGACGAACTTGCGTTGTAGAAGCTCTCGTGCTTCCTTGTGCCCTGTTGGCGTCCAGTCGATTACCTCGTGGCCGGCCTTTCTTAGTCGGTCGACTGTTTCTTTCAGAGCACGAGCTACGGGTGGCGTGGGTGTGACGATGCCATCGTTCCACATTACAGCTAGTTTGAGTCGGTGCTTTGGCTCAGCTGGGCGCCATGGGATAGGGAGACACTTCGGGTCGTTAACCCAAGGCTCTTGGTCGATGACGGTCTTGGAGTAGAATGTGATTTCCTCCAATGTCGACGCCATGGGACCATTAACACTGTTCACGGCTTCTTGGCCCGCCAATCCGGATCGCGTTTGGAAGTTCGGGAATCGTCCAAAGGAAGGCCGCAGTGTGAAGATACCTGTGCAAGCGGCTGGGATACGGAGAGAGCCACCTGAAGCCACGGTTAGCACTCTCTACTGACTGACAGCCTTCTATCAGTGCTAGGGTAAAATGGATCGCTCACCAATGTCAGTCCCAACGCCGATGCGACTTGCCCCGAATGAGATAAGCGCTGATTCACCCCCGGACGAGCCACCAGAGGTCAGCTTCCGATTAAGGGGATTCACAGTCCGGCCGAAGACGTTGTTGACGGTCTCGGCGATCATCATCGCAGTGGGCACATTGGTTTTCACATACAGCACTGCTCCGCCTTCTAGGAGGAGATCCGTGAGGATACTGTTGTATGTGGCGGGGTCGTTGACAAGCGATGTGAAGCCCACCGTGGAGTCTTTACCGATGATGTTAAAGTTGTCCTTGAGTGAGATTGGGAGGCCATGGAATGGACCTTTGGGTTTTCCTGTCTTGCGCAGGTGTTCGTCTAATTGCTTGGCTCGAGCGATGGCTTCGTCGAAGAGGATCTCGGAGAGGCAATTCGTCTAGGCATCTCTTATTAGGTCTTCAAATCGCAGTTTGAGTGACGCGGAGGAATATGTACCAATTGGTGAGCCGCTGCAGCGGCCTTACAGAACACTTTTGTCACTTCCTCCGACGTCCATGACCCGGTTTCCAAATGGGCCAGGATCCTAGGCGCCGAGGTGGACAAGATCTCGAGCTCTCTGTTAGTGAACCATCCCGACTGTCGCGGGAAAGATGTGACGTCTGTTTGATGCTCTGGGGGGAGAAGATGGGCAGGAATTATCCATTCGGACGGAATGGCAGCTCTGAGCGATTCCTGCTTGCTTTTCGCAATTGCTTGCCAGGAATTCATCTCGTCTGGCAGAATGGGAGACTGAGATTTGAATTGGAGGAAAGGGTGACAACGTTGTGGACGTTAGTATCGGACATTACTGGGGAAACTGTTCTCCATCTTATAGAGACGAAATGGGGATACCGTAGTCCTGCATAGATGCAGCAAGGAGCGGCTGCGGGGATCCTGAGCATAGAACAGATTGTGACCCCCTCACGCCTCCTCACCGATAAGATCCAAGTGCCTAGGTCGAGCGATATCGTTGAACCTTCTTCGTTCTGTCCCTCTTTGTCTCGGGCCTGATGTCCTATAGCAATCGCCGAGGAAGGTTTATCTGAATCAGGTATCGTCGTGATAGCCGGCAAGCGAGGCGATCTATCAGGATTTAGCTAGTGATTGATGTATTACCCGGCAATGGATAGCCGGGGGTAGTGGCACAAGAGCAGGTTCGTATCGCAACTGAACCGCAGTCCCACTTAGGGTTCCGCGATGTCATTGGAAGAGCGGATGGCACGGAATGAATGCCGAAGTCAAGTGATAAGACGACCAAACGCGGGGTTGCGACTCGATCGATGGCTGGCAGCAGGAAAGTGGATCGGTATGTTTATCAGTAGCAGAAATACTATGGTTATGATTATGGCTACCTTGAGGATGTTTTGGAATATCTCCTCCGTGGTGTTGTCTGTGACTTCTGAGACCTCATTGACTATGTCGGCAGTATCAGACCGTCTAGTACACCACTAACTGATAAAATCTTTGTTCTATCAACGCCAAGCATTTTGCTTCTTTCTAGGCTCAAGAGGAATCGACCTGAAGCTCCTCCGCTCGGTGCCACCTTATCTTTCATTGGTGAAGATGGACAAGTGTCCGGGCAGGCGGGATTGCTGATAGCAGCCCGAGTTGCCTTCCTCATGGCGATCTTGATTAGAGTTTACAACGATCAAAGTATGGCCATGGGATACTCAGGCTAGTCTGGGGGTGTTCGTATAAAGAGGCTTGAGGAAGCTCGCTGAGAAGTAGGTCCTCACCTGTCCTGCGCCAAACCGTACACATAGCCGAGATTCAACCATGTTGGTCAATCTCAAAACCTATCTGAAAGGCCAGGAATCAAGGCCCGGGGAGGCCAAACTGCTGCGAAAGCTGGATTTCTTCATCCTCTCATTTTGTTGTTTGACATACTTTTTCAATTACCTAGATCGCTCCAACCTATCTAACGCGTATGTGTCGGGAATGAAAGAGGAGCTCAACTTCCAAGGAAACCAATTGAATGTTATCAATACCATTTTTACTGTCGGCTATATCCTCGGTCAAATACCCTCGAACTTAGCATTGACCTATATTGCTCCCCGCATCTTTTTCCCTACCATGATTGTGATCTGGGGCGGTCTTACCATGATCACAGCCGCCGTGCACAATCCCCAGGGCATCATGGCTATTAGGTTTTTCTTAGGGTTGGCGGAATCCAGTACCTTCGCTGGAACCCATTACATTCTCGGGGCTTGGTATACCGAGAAAGAGCTGGGCAAGCGGAGCGGCATCTTTACTGCCTCCGGACTCGCCGGTACCATGTTTGGAGGCTTCATCCAGGCAGGCATCCATTCATCGCTCGACGGAGCCCGTGGACTATCCGGTTGGCGATGGCTCTTCATCATCGACGGACTGATCACCCTCCCCATCGCACTCTACGGACTGTTCTTATTCCCCGATACTCCTGCCACGACCCGGGCGCCATATCTCTCTGCTTCTGAGCGAGCTTTGGCTATCTCCCGTATGCCGGAGGCAAGCGCAGCGAGGTCGCGCTTAGACATGGCCTTTGCGAAGAAGATATTCGGCACCTGGTACTGGTATGGTTTCGTCATGCTCTGGATCATCGCCGGTGAGACGGAATCCTTCTCAACCAACACCCTGCTCGCACTCTACATGAAGTCCCACCCTACCAATAAATATACCGTCTCGCAGTTAAACAACTATCCATCGGGAGTGCCCGCCGTGGGGATTGTGTCGACCTTATTTTGGGCTACGTTAACCGATTTTATGGGCGGGAAACGCTATCTGGTAGGGTTCTTTATTGGAATCACCGGCATTATCACTTCTGCACTTATCCTGACGCAGTTCTCCTCCACCGCCACGGTCTTTGGAGCCTATTACTGGGCTGGCGCAGTATATGCCTGTCAGGCTACATTCTTTGCATGGTGCAACGATGTCATGCGGTACCAGGATGGTCGGCTGCGCTCGGTGGTGATTGCCAGTATGAACCTGGGAAGTAATGCAGTCAATGCTTGGTGGAGCATCCTGTTCTACTCTGCTACTTTTGCCCCGAGGTTTACCAAGGGTATGTGGGCAATGATCGGATGTTCCATTGCTCTGATTCTCTGGACGAGCGGCATTATATATATGAGCATAAGAGAGACACGTGAGGGGCTGGATGGTGGTGTTGAACGGGCTGAAGAGGAAATAGCAGAGGGGTCAATTTACAAACCCAAAGACTAGAGTAGGTTGTAGCGAAAATAATATATTCAACGTTCTCTTTTGATCTGTGATGTGGGTAAGCGTTATTTGTAAGTAAGATGACTCTTGTTGAATGACTTTATCGGCGTGTTCCGATAAGAGAAACGCGGGATATCAAAGTGCGGAGACTCCCGACCCCCCCATTGACGTCGTTGATATTTATTTCTCTCACTCCCATTTCCGCTTCTCTTCTCTTCTCTTTCTCCAATTGCTCTTCCCAAGACTACCAATTGAGCTTAAACAAAGAATTGCAAGGCAGGTCCTTGCCTATTACTACCCCTCCGACGCACCTCCACAAAGCAAAATACAACAACAAGAAACAACAACAACCAGCACAATGGCGCCAATCCTCACCACCACGCCGACAGTCCACATCGCACCCTCACCACTCACCAAAGAAGCCTTCGCCCCCTTCGGCACAGCAGTGTACTCTCCTCTCCCCCGAGATCTCAATCAAGCACCAGCCAGCGTTTCCTCCCTGGCACCACACTCCCCCACCCCAGTCCTGGCGAACCAAAACTCCGCGCTGAAATACAGCCCCATCTCCCCGCTCCAAGACAACTACACCGGCCACTGCCCAAGCAACCAACCCTCCTCTACCCGAATGACCATGTTCAGCTGCTTCCCTCGCCAACTGCGCGCCCTCCCTACCAAAAATACTAAAGTCTTCGACGTCCGCATCCTCGAACGTCACCCCTTCACGACCCAGACCTTCACCCCGATCGACCTCTCCAGTCAGTCTACTGCCGGTGGTCAGGATGAGCCGTATTTCTTGGTTGTGGTTGCTCCGACGTTGAAGGGGCAGACTGCTACGGCTATGACTCCCTCCGGACCGGTTACGGTGAGGGATCCCCCCGATTTGAAGAATTTGAGGGCGTTTGTGGCGCGGGGTGGACAGGCGGTTACGTATGGGGCTGGGACGTGGCATGCGCCGATGGTGGTGATTGGGTCGAGACGGGTGGATTTTGTGGTCGTGCAGTTTGTTAATGGGGTTGACGAGGAGGATTGTCAGGAGGTGGCGTTTGGGGAGGGCGTTGTGGTTGAGGTGGAGGGAGAGGGAGAGGGAGAGGGGAGGGCTGTGGCGAAGCTTTAGGGTTGTGTGGGTTTGTTCCTTGTTGTTGTTGTTGTTGTTGTTGTTGTTGTTGTTGATGATGATGGGTGATGGGGGTGAGGATTGGGTTGTGAGGTTATGATGTGATGTATTATACCCTGGGATGGTGGGGTTGGTTTTGTGGTCATTTTATGAGTTGATGGTTATTGTACATATGATTGGGAAGTGGAAAAAGCTTTGTATATAAATATTCGGAATTACATACTTATGCGTTAGGATGCCACTGGCTGAGGTTTGGAACCTGCTTCGGCTTTCCAATTTACATTTGCTGACCATGTTTTCTGGCCGCTACGAGCGCTATCCCGCACGCTTCGGGCCATCTCGAGGGCCTCTTTTGGTAATCCTGCGAGCTGAGCCACCTTCAACGCATGGGACTCACGATTTACACCCTGGCGCAGCCGATGGACAAACGAGAAGGACCCCGAGGCGGTCTCCTTGACGTCCGTACAGTACCGGCCTAGAGCGTCAAAATCGTGTGTCATGTCTGCGAGCTCGTGGAAGTGAGTTGCGAACAGCGTGCGGCATCGGTTGCGATAATGGAGATGGTGTAGACATGCGAAGCTGACGGCGGTGCCATCTTCGGGGGTGGTGCCGCGGCCAACCTCGTCCATGATGACGAAGGAACGGGATGTCGCCTGCTTCAGGATAGCGGCTGTCTCGAGCATTTCCACCATGAACGTGGACTGGTCGCGGAACAGATCGTCCGCCGCACCGATACGACTGAAGATTTGGTCTACGATCCCGATCTCGGCGTATTCGGCTGGGACAAACGATCCGACCTGCGCGAGTATCGTGATCAGTGCGTTTTGACGCAGGAAGGTGCTCTTCCCGGCCATGTTGGGCCCCGTAATGAGCCAGATGCGTTCCTGATCGCCTAGGAAGCAGTCGTTGCTGACGAATCGTCGGCCCTGCTCTTCGAGGCCGAGTTTGACTGTTGGGTGTCTTCCTCCAACGATTTTGTGGGAGGTTCCCTTGGTCAGAATGGGCCTAACGAGGCGCTGCTCTTGTGCTAGTGCTGCAAATGAGCACGCAACGTCCAGTTCGTCCATTACCGCTGCATTGCGCCGGATCTTTACTAGGTTGAGAATCACCTCGCGCCGAAGGCGTTCAAAGATCAGTTGCTCTTCTTGCCGAATTTGGAGTTTCACTTGGTCTGTTCGACTACCTAGCTCAGTCCATGCAGGTAGATAGAACGACCTGGTTGATTTAGTTGTTGAGACGTTTCGTGTTACTCCTAATTCTTCAAGGGCTTGCTGGGATACTTTCGTGCCCTTGACATGACATATATGACCGAGACCAGGGGTCCACTTGAGAGTAAGAGTAGATGACCCTACAGAATCACGAAGACGCTGGGTCAAGCTGACCTTCTCATCCTGTAGTTTGCTTAAAGCTTGGTGGAGTTTACGTAGAGCTGGGCTTGCATCCCGCCTCATAATCCAGGTGTCGACATCTGGTGGCTCATCTGTAGCGGTGCCAGCTCGGTTAGAGCTTTTAGATCGGACTTTCTTCGGCAACGCGTCGAGGTCAGTTGGCAAACCCTCGTTCATGGTGACTTCCTGCGCTAGGATGGCGGCCTCTGCGGCGGTGTCATCTTCAATCCGCTGCTTTTGGATCAGTCCTTCTTCATCAATAGCAGCCAATATTTTCTCTGCGAGTATAGTAGGCCCATCCAAATGAAGCCGATTGGTCATAGTTGCAAGGCTATCATTGGCTTGGGCGGACGAGGAGACATCGAAGCCTGTAACGGAAAGGACCCGCTTGATCTCCTTCGAGGCTTCTATAGCCCTTGAAAGACAAACCAGGTCATCAGGGTCTCCCCGTCCAAGTGTGAACTTTTGGACTAGCCGCTGAGCGTCATAGCTCCGTTTCAAAAGCTGTGTCACACTATCACGTAGCTCACTGTTGGCGATGAAAATCGACACAAGGTCAAGGCGCTCGTTGATCACCTGTAAGGAAGTAGACGGAGAACCTAGACAACAAGGGGTTAGAGTACAACCACGAAAACCATGAGCAGATAAAATGTGGGTGTGAAACATACTCAAACGGTCCCTCAGGAGACGCGCTCCGCTTTTGGTGGAGGTACGACGAACTGCATGAAGCAGACTCCCTTTGCCGAAGCCATCCCGAGCGGTTTCGAGAATTTCCAGTCCTCGCAAGCTATTGCGGTCAATATTCATGGATTCGCTCAAGTGCCGTCGACGAGGGGGTTGAAGCTTTAGATCTAATCCCTGTAATTGAACCCGGATATACTCCAAGAGGCTATAACCAGCGGCTGTTTCCTCCGCCGTGAAAGACTTAATAGATTTAGGAGAAACGGGTGCTTCTAGCATCGAATCCCACCGAGACATGGGCAAGATGTCTCGGGGAAACGGGAAGAATGTCATCAGTCGATGATCGTGCCCAACTAGCAGTTGCAGCTCCTGTCCGATCAAATCTTGAATACCCTGGTCAACCAAGATCTCTCGAGCACCAATCCTTGCAATAGCCGAAGGAAGCATTTGCGCTGTTGTAGACTGGGTAAAAAAGTCACCAGTGGAAAGATCTAACCAGGACAAGCCTACGGGCTGAGAGGCGGACGACAGTACATGTTGATGCGACGAGACATCATGTTGCTGTTCTAGCTGGGCTTTCAAAGATAGTTCATCTATGTATATGGCTAGGAGAAAATTGTTTTCCGCAGGATCCATGAACTTCTCGTCAATTAATGTGCCCGGGGTGATGATTCTGGCCACCTTTCGATCGAAGAGAAGCCCCCCTGTACGAGCTTTGTCCTCCGCGCCGTGTGCGAATTCCTCGCTAATGGCAACGTACTTATTGAGATCTTGTACGAGGGTTTTCAGGAAGCGATCTAATTGGAAGAACGGAAAACCCGCCATGGGAACAGGACCGGCGCTGGTCTTCTTGGAAGCAAGCTTGATATTCAGCAATGGGGCCAGCTCCTCAGCTTGCTCGAAATACAGCTAGAATCGGGTTAGGAATGACAGTTTACGGGCTGAATATCTCAGCGGATAGATGAATTCTCCGGAGTCGCTCCCATACCTCATAAAAGCCTCCAACTCTTGTAAGGATAACACAATTCTGGAACTTTTCCATATTATTCCTATGTCCTTGCACGACCGGCGGGTATCGCGGTGCATCTTCTACGGTATCATGATAAGGTTCTAGCTTCAACGCTCCTTGTGGTAGATCCTTTAGTTTCACAGTAGAGCGCGTTTTGGCACCCCTTTGGAGCGTGAAGTTTGGGGCCGGAGAAGGCGTCGCGATGCGCAGCGACGGACGGCGGGCATGATGGCAGATGGTTCGGTGTACCTGGCAGTGATATGGTAATACAAAATCGGTTTTGCAGAGAGGAGAGATACGCGATGGGATCAAGTGTGAAATTCGGCTGCCATAAACTGGCATGATCCCAGTGTGAATCGAACGTTGGATATAGATGTTGTTTGGCTTCGTCGCGAGCTTCACGAGAGAAGCTCTTTGCTCGGGAGCACGAAAAGGGTAAAGCGTTGATCAGTGCCTGAGGCAACGATCGCCAAACCTTCCGTCTTCGCCACTCAAATCTGCTTGACGAGAACTTCGGAAGCGGAACTCTCAAACGCAACAACTCTTCAACACCGCGAAACATCCCACGCAAGCTTGCGGCCCTGCACCAACGAGGAAGCTTGTCTGCTGCAGGAGGATGCTCCAGGTTTGTGAAACCTTCTGGAATCTCATATAATTGCAGGATTCATTTCTCGTCGCAGGAGTGTCGACGCGCCGGTTGATCGTGAGCTCCACCGAGCCCAGACGACTCATTCCAGTCGTAACACGATCGCGTTTGATTTCAATTACTTTCTTTCTTTTGTTTCAAAGTTAATCGCATTATAATACCATCAAGATGGCGGACCAGAATATCTCTCAGTATAAGTACTCGGCGATGTCCAACCTGGTTCTCCAGGCGGACCGTCGTTTCATTTCTCGCATCAACGATGAACCCACTGGAGACCCAGAATCCCTCGCAGGTCGGATTAGTATTCGGGAGATGGGCGGCAGGATGGCGCGTGATGATGCGCCAAAGACGAAAAAGAAAGCCGGTCTGACAGATATTGAGCGGGGTTCGATTCGAGAAGGCGAGGACGTACTCGCTCGAGAACAAAAAAAGCGCCAACGAGGCCAACCAGCACAATTACGAGGTCAAGGTATCCTTTCGGCTGCCGATGCTGTTGTCGAAGGGTTGAAATACCGCCCCCGGACGCCTGCCACCCGTGCCACATATGACCTTATCCTTACCATGACCGCAAACCATCTCGGCGATGTTCCTCACGAAGTCGTACGAAGTGCCGCCGATGCCGTGCTGGAGTACCTTAAGGATGAGGACATGAAAGATTTCGATAAGAAAAAGGAGATCGATGATTTGCTTGGCAGTTCGATGAATCCTAAAGAATTCAACGAGCTTGTTAATCTGGGCAAGAAGATTACCGACTATGACGCGCAGGACGAAGATGAAGATATGGATGGTGGTCTTCAAGGTGAAGGTGAAGAGGAACTTGACGAACGCCAGGGTGTTGCCGTTGTTTTCGACGAGGAAGACGAAGATGACGAGCGGATGGGCACTGTCAACGAAGTGCGAGACGACGATGAGTTGTCAGATGAGGACGAGGCAGATCAGCAAGACGCACCCGGCACTGACGAGTTAAGCGCCGATAAGGTAGACGCTGATGGTCTCGACACCGAGGAAATGGTAATAGACGGCGGCATGGAGCGTGGTGATGATCGAGGGGATAAAGCACTTAGAGTTTCCGCTCGTGAAATTGATGCCTACTGGCTTCAACGTGAGATCGGTAAAGCATACTCAGATGCCCATATCCAACAAGAGAAGGCTACGGAGGCACTTGAGATTCTTGGTGGTAAAGGCGAGGATGGCGCTGAGAAGCCACTCCGAGATGTGGAAAACGATCTAATGGAGCTCTTCGACTATGACTATCCGGATCTCGTTGCTAAACTGGTTACGAACCGTGAAAAGATTATTTGGACCACTCGGTGGCGCAGGGTGGCTGAAGATGCGGATGCCCGCAATCTTGTTGAGAGCGAAATGGTCGAAGCCGGACATCGTGCCATTTTGGATGAAATTCGAGGAAAGACAGCTCGTGATGATGGCACTAGTCGCCCTGAGAAAAAGATCAAGCTCGACCTGATGGATGTCGATGTACCAAATGCTCCTGCCCCAGAAGAAAAGCCAGCTGATGGCGGCTTGGTCAGAGGCCTTCAACCCAAACGGCTGATCAATCTGGAAAACCTCGTCTTCCACCAAGGAAATCACCTTATGACAAACCCCAGTGTCAAATTACCCCAAGGTTCGACCAAGCGGACATTCAAAGGATACGAAGAGATTCATGTGCCGCCTCCCAAAGCGAAGAGAGACCCCGGAGAGAAGAACATCCCGACCACAGAACTTCCCGAATGGGCGCGAATTGGTTTCGGAAGCTCGAAAGAACTCAACCGTATCCAGACTAAGTGTTTCCCTACGGCCTTCCATGATGATGGTAATATGCTTGTCTGTGCGCCTACTGGATCCGGAAAGACAAATGTTGCCATGCTCACCGTCCTTCGAGAGATTGGAAAGAATCGTAACCCTCAAACGGGCGAAATAATGCTCGACGATTTTAAGATCGTTTTTATTTCACCCTTGAAGGCCTTGGTTCAGGAGCAAGTTGGAAACCTTGGCAAGCGTTTGGAGCCCTATGGCATCAAGGTCGCCGAACTTACTGGCGATCGCCAGCTTACAAAGCAGCAAATCGCTGAAACCCAGATCATTGTTACGACTCCAGAGAAGTTCGATGTTGTTACGAGAAAGGCATCAGAGACAAGCTATATTAAACTTGTGCGGCTTGTTATCATTGATGAGATCCATCTTCTTCACGATGATCGTGGCCCTGTCATTGAAAGCATCGTAAGTCGGATTATTCGCAAGGGCGAGCAGACTGGTGAACCTGTCCGAATTGTTGGTCTGAGTGCCACCCTCCCTAACTACCGGGATGTGGGAAGCTTTTTGCGAGTTGACCCTGTAAAAGGCCTATTCCATTTTGATGGCTCCTATAGGCCTTGTCCGTTGAAGCAGGAGTTCATTGGTGTTACAGACAAGAAGGCCATCAAGCAGTTGAAGACCATGAACGATATCTGTTATAATAAGGTCATTGAGCAAGTCGGGCAGCGTAGGAACCAGATGCTTATCTTCGTTCACTCTCGGAAAGAGACTGCCAAAACGGCGAAGTATATCCGAGACAAGGCCTTGGAGATGGAGACTATTGGTCAAATCTTGCGAAGCGATGCTGCTAGTCGAGCCATCCTGGCCGAAGAAGCGGAGTCCGTAGATGATGCGTCGCTGAAGGATCTACTCCCCTACGGTTTTGGTATTCATCATGCTGGTTTGAGTCTTGCCGATCGTGACTCAGTCCAGGCACTCTTCGCGGATGGCAGCATTCAGGTTCTAGTTTGTACCGCGACTCTTGCTTGGGGTATTAACCTTCCTGCGCATACAGTCATCATCAAGGGTACCCAGGTTTATTCTCCAGAGAAGGGCAGTTGGGTTGAACTGAGCCCTCAAGATGTCCTGCAAATGTTGGGAAGAGCTGGTCGACCGCAATATGACACTTTCGGCGAAGGTATCATCATCACTTCTCAGACGGAAATTCAGTACTACCTCTCCCTCATGAATCAACAACTCCCTATTGAGAGTCAGCTTGTGAGCAAACTTGCGGATAACATGAATGCCGAGATCGTTCTTGGAAATATCCGGACGCGCGATGAGGGTGTCGACTGGTTGGGTTACACTTACCTCTTCGTCCGTATGCTCCGCTCTCCTGGGCTGTATAGTGTTGGTGCCGATTACGAGAACGACGATGCTTTGGAGCAGAAGCGTGTTGACCTCGTCCACTCTGCGGCAGTGGTCTTGGAGCGGGCAGGCCTTGTGAAATACGAGAAGAAGACTGGTCGTCTTCAGTCTACTGAACTGGGACGGGTTGCTTCGCATTACTACATTGGCCACAACTCCATGTTAACCTACTCTCAACATCTTCAACCATCGGTCACTACCATCGAGCTCTTCCGAATTTTCGCTCTTAGCGATGAGTTTAAGTATATCCCTGTGCGTCAGGACGAGAAGCTTGAACTGGCGAAGCTTCTGGGCCGTGTGCCGGTTCCTGTCAAAGAAGGTATTGATGAGCCTCACTCGAAAATCAATGTTTTGTTACAGGCTTATATTTCGAGACTGAAGCTTGATGGTCTTGCTTTGATGGCAGACATGGTATATGTTACCCAATCTGCTGGTCGTCTTCTGCGAGCTCTGTTCGAGATTTCGCTCAGGAAGGGTTGGTCATCTGTTGCCAAGACGGCTCTCGATCTCTGCAAGATGGCTGAAAGACGCATGTGGCCGACAATGACACCTCTTCGTCAGTTCCCATCCTGCCCCAGGGACATCATGCAAAAAGCGGAAAGAATTGATGTGCCGTGGTCAAGCTATCTTGACCTTGATCCTCCGCGCATGGGTGAACTTCTGGGTATGCCGAAGGCTGGACGTATTGTCTGCGATCTTGTGTCTAAGTTCCCTCGTCTGGAAGTCCAAGCACAAGTTCAACCGGTGACACGGTCCATGCTACGCGTTGAGTTGACCGTCACGCCCAACTTTGTTTGGGACGAGATGCTGCACGGAACCGCGCAGGATTTCTGGATTGTAGTTGAGGATTGTGATGGCGAGGAGATCCTTTTCCACGATCAGTTCATGCTTCGCAAAGACTATGCGCAGTCGGAGATGAACGAGCATCTTGTTGAGTTCACCGTTCCTATCACCGAGCCGATGCCCCCCAATTACTTCATTTCACTCATCTCCGACCGCTGGATGCATTCCGAAACGAAGATTGCTGTCTCCTTCCAGAAGTTAATCCTCCCAGAAAGATTTCCCCCGCATACTCCTCTATTGGCCATGCAAAGCGCCCCAGTTAAGGCATTGAAGCGTGACGAGTACCAGAACTTATACTCCGATTGGCAGTATTTTAATAAGATCCAGACGCAGACCTTCAAATCGCTCTTTGATACAGATGATAATGTCTTCATCGGTGCCCCTACTGGGAGCGGAAAGACTGTGTGTGCAGAACTTGCGTTACTACGTCACTGGGCAAAGGA